TTCATACATACATACATACATACATACATACATACATACATACATACATACATACATACATACATACATATATATATATATATATACATAAGAAAAACTATTTTCAAACAGCTAATTTTACCAAACGTTTTTAACGATCAGACAATTTATTCTGCCAGTCAAACCAGCTAAACTAAACAGCCGGTCACAACAGCTGGCACGAACTGCCAACTACCAACAGCTGACAGCCAACATCCAAACAAGGCCAAACACAACTTCAACTAGATGCCATCTTCAACCTCTCCGAGCTTAAGTGTAACACCCATGCCCTTAATATATCTACTATGAATCCACCTAACCCATATGTTATCTTTCTTGTTTGCAATATCCCAATTTAGTTTCATCACTAAAGCTTTGTTCCAGGCATTTAGATTCCTAAACCCCAGTCCTCCACTGCACTTTGGTTTGCAAGTATCTTCCTAGTTGACTAATGGAACTCGTTTGTAATGATCAACAGCCCCCCAGAGGTAGTTCCTACATAAGGCTTGCACCTTCTTCATTACCCTGCCGGGAATGATGAAGATTCTACACCAAAAGTTAATGATTCCAAACAAAACTGAGTTAATCAGTCTGGCCCGCCCTGCATATGATAAGTGTTTAGTGGCCCAACTTGTGATCCTTGACGTTAACGTCTCTATGAACACATCACAGTCAGCATTAGACAATTTATTAGCTGAGATTGGACATCCTAGGTATGTGAAGGGGAGTTTGCCCTCTGTGATCTTTGTCATATCAATAAGTTTTTGCTTCTCTTTATGGTTGACCCCTGCCATTACAATTTGTGATTTACCATGGTTGATAGAAAGTCCAGTCGTCTTTTTAAAATGAGCTAGAACCTCCATGACGCACTTTATAGATTTCTCATCTGCTCTGCATATTACCATCAAGTCATCTGCAAAGCATAAGTTGATGAGTTTAATGTCCTTGCACATTGGGTGAAATCTGAGCTTGGAATTTTCTGCATACTGGACCAGAACACGAGTGAAGTATTCCATAACCATAACAAACAAGAGGGGGGAAATTGGGTCTCCTTGCCTTAATCCCTTTCCCCCTTTGAATAAACCTTTACATTCTCCATTGATGCATACAATGAACGATGGAGTAGTTATGCAGAAGTTTACCCACCTTATGAATTGATCTGGGAATTTAAAATATGTCAGCATATCCTCAATGGCTTTCCAACTTATGGAGTCATAGGCTTTTGTTATATCAAGCTTGATCATGCATCTAGCTGATATTCCCTCTCTATTATACCCTTTGGCTAGTTCCTCGCAGAGTAGCACATTATGTAATAATTCTCTTCCTTCCACAAATGCCCCTTGGTTTTGGTTTATGATGTGTGGTAGTACCTGCTTCAACCTGCTGCATAGGAGTTTTGAGATGACTTTGTAGATTACGTTACAGCATGCTATGGGTCTGTAATCCTTTACCCCTAGGGGGTTATCCATCTTAGGGATGAGGATAATTTTTGTGTTGTTTATTTGCTTCAATGTTACATCATCCCTGAAGAAATCCAATACAGCTGCACTAACTAGGCTTCCAACTGTATCCCATTGGCTCTTAAAGAACCCACTAGAGTACCCATCTGGTCCAGGGCTCTTGCTGTTTGGTATGCCAAATAGTGCTTTCTTCACATTCTCTTCCTGAAACGGTGCAATCAAGTAACATTGTTGTTCCAATGATAGGACCTCCCCTCTCTGTATTATTTCACCTTGTATGTTCTCTGTATATGTGGTTGAGCCCAATAAGTTTTGGTAGTAATCAATGATCACCCTCTCCACCCCGACTGAGTCATTCACCAGGTTATTTTCATTATCCCTCATGGATATTATTTGGTTCTGTATCTGCCTCTTTTTAATCCAAGCATGAAACATTTTTGATCCTTGATCAACCTCTGCAATCCACTCCATCTTGGATTGCTATTTTCTCATAAGGCTTGCTGCTTTAAGTTTCAGGTGATAATCTTTGGTGAGTTGTTTCTCTTTGTGTAGCAAACCACTGTCCTCTTGATTTTCTTTTAGATGCTTTTGAGTTTCTTCAAGTTCCACCCTAATTACTTCCACTTGCTTGTATATCTAGTAGAACTTATCTCTATTTAACTTTCTCACGGGTGCTTTCAGTGCTTTGAGTTTCTGCACAAGCTGGAACATTGGGCTGCCCTCTACTTGCTTAGACCAACCCTCTTGCATTATTGAATGGAAATTAGGGTCTAGTCTCCACATTTCACAGTATTTGAATTCATTCTTCGTATTCTGACTTTGGCTATTGGGAACAATCATGGGGCAGTGGTCTGAGATCCCTTCCTCCAGAATGATTGTTTTGGCTCCATGTTTTGTGACCCATTCAACATTGCTGAGTACTCTGTCTAATTTAGAGTAAATTCTGTTCCCTTGGCCTTGCTTATTAGACCATGTGTAGTAAGATCCAGTGTAGGGAACCTCCTCTAATCTACAATCCCTAAGACATTCTTCAAATTCTTTTGTCTCCTCTCGGGTTACTCTACAGCCTCCAATTTTGTCTTTCATATGTAACACAGCATTAAAATCTCCCAATACACACCAGGCTCCTCTTACAGTTGTGGAGTATCTCCTAATGGATGCCCACATCTCTTTCCTGTTGTTAGAGTCATTATGACCATACACAAACGTTATGTAAAACTGCTCTTTAGTGCTCCTGTTCATTCCATAACAATGCACAGTCTGATCTGTCGATTCTAGCACCCTTACTTCATAACTCTGCCTTCTCCAGACCACCCATATCCTCCCATTTGGATGATCCTTATTGTTGATGTAAGTTCCCCACCCATTAAAAGGTTTATTCTCTACCTCCAAGTAATTAGGATCCTTTATTTTTGTTTCCATCAGTCCCATGAGGCCAATGGCATACTTATTTACTAGGTTCTTCACTGCTGCTTGTTTATTAGAACTATTCATTCCTCTTACATTCCATCCACCAATCATAGCAAGAATGGTAAGTGCCCCTTATATGGGGTTTCAAATAGTTCTCTATGCAACAATATATCATGATACCGCACCTTATCATTAGCCATTGTCAGTGAACCTTTGAATGCCTTCTTCCTTTTGACCTCTACAAACCCATCAGAATGGTACCCTTCTTGTTTGTTTGTCGTTGTTTCCCCCTGGTCTCCTACCTGTCTAATTGCAGATGACCCCCTCTGATCACCCCCTTGTCTACTTAAGGATGATTCTCCTTGGAGGCCTTTTCCATTACTAGATGGTACCATTGTTTCCTCCACTACACCCTCCTTTTCCTGAGTCTTCTTCACCACCCCCTGGTCCTTCTGTATGTGTTTAGGTTTCCAGGTTAACCTCTGTTTACTTTGTCCATCTTTTCTTCTACATGTATTTTGGGTATGTCCTAACCCTTTGCAATGAGTACATGTGACTGGACACCACTCATACTTGATCTTTTGTGTAATAAGTCTTTTGTTTTCATCAGCAAACAATATCTTATCCGGAAATTGTTGATTCATAGCAACTGCTACTTGCATCCTGGCATACTCCATTTTGGTCTTTGTTGCAGTAGCATTATCTGTTCTTATGGGTTTCCCCAGTAGGCTCCCTATCTTACTTAGCCCTGATAGGCTCCAGTATTTTAGTTCCAGATCTGGGAGTTGTACCCATATAGGAATATCATTGAGAACATTCAAGTCAATTGTACATCCAGGATTCCATTTACGAACATAAACTGGCTTGTTGTCAAACTGATAGTAAGTCCTACTGATTGCTTCATCCCTACTGTCCTCAGAGTGAAATCGAACAACATATTTTCCAGGTTTGGAAAATTTAATCTCATCAATTGAAAAATCCTTCCAAATCCTTCGAATAAAACCCTCAGCTATAGATAAAGGTGGATTCGCACCAAGTATACATACCACCGCTGCTGAATCCCAGTATGTCGCGGAGGTCACTATATCATCTTCAGTCAATCGGGCAAACCTATTTCCATTCATTTCCTCTGCTTCTACATAGGTAAGCTTGCAATCAACCTTACCCACAACATCAGCATAGGTTTTTGGTTCAGTATCTGGTTTCATCTCTGGCCCTTCGTCCATATGAATACCTTCTGGAATCGATTGTTCGTCTGCATCGCCTAGGTCACGCTGGATCTCCTTTAATACGGGTGCAGCCCCATCCTGTACGTGAGAGTCCGATGATTCAGGCTTATCGAATTCAGATTTCTGTTTTGGATTGGCTGGTTGTTGCTTCTTCTTCGGCCGGCCTCTCCCTGCCATGGCTAGAGAGAGAACTCCTGGTTATGTCGCTAAAATCGTCGCTGGACAGTAGTCTTGTGGTCTCCGATCGATTGGGCGGAGAAACTTGTGGTCTCCGATCGATTAGGCCCGGTTTGGCATTTTAGCTTTAGCTTTTTGAAAAGCTATCCGACGGTAGCTTTTAGCGTTAGCGTTTTTAGAATTAATCTACACCATTAAAATTTTATCCAAAACGCTAACGCTAATCAAAAACGCTGTTTCCAAACAAGGCCTAAGTAGTAGAATTTATGAATTTGGATTTTATTTCAGAAATAAATCAAGGAGGACTTCTCAAATTCTCAACTAGCTTTTACGGTATGTAATTATAATAATATAATTTTGTCATTTATTTCTTTCTTCTAATTATATTGCGTTAATTATAATTTAAATATAATTAGTTTACATATGTTAATTTCTTAGATCATTAAGGATAAAATTTTTAGGGCCTTTTTTTCTGTTTCGACCCAGGCCGATGAATCCTCAGAACCGGCCTTGCCCAGGTATTTCACATGCCATGTTCAAGCATATATAGCAACCAAGGTCACACTCCTTTTTCGTTCTCTGTCCAGAACTATTTTTTTCAATCTACTCCTACATATATTTCCGTATATTGTATATAAGTCTACATGAACAAATTGATATGGAGTGCTTGCATTCAAGTTGGAAGCAGATTGCATTATGCTTAGTTGTCATTTAATTCTTGTTGTTTTAAGTATGTCTTTAGTTATTTCGTTTATTTAGATAGTGAGTCAAGTGGTTATTGAGTAATGGGGCTTATTCTGGAGTAGTAGAGTCATCATACGTTACTTCTCTTTGTAGCCTTATAAGGCACTTGGTGTTTACGGAATGAATATGCAGAAATTGCAACAACCTGAAAACTTGCTTAGTGGATAGCCATTGCATTAATAAAAATAAATATAATATTTTATTATATTGTCTGACTCAAAAATACGGATTATTTGTAAAGTTAAACTTTTATTTTAAAAAATTGGGTTATTGGGTAGATCTCGCAAAATTGTGACCAACGATATATAGTTTGTTAAGTTAGATTTACGTGTAAAGCATGGTGAGTTAAATAGATATTACAATTTAATAAAAAAATATAAGGATTAAATAATATAATAAAAAAATAATTATAATATTTTAAATATACCATCACCTACTCTAATTTGGATGAGCCCACCCATATCTATGTATTTATATACGAAGAACAACGCATATGTTCATCGCTGTTGTCAGTTTTCAACGCTTGAACCCGTGTGACCCAAAGTGGGTCCGCCCCTGCGTCGACCCAAAAATTAAATGGTGCTGAACCATACTACTCCGTACTATAAAGTAGTAGATCCGCCCATGTTCTTAAGCATCCAATTAATATTAATACTCCCTCCGTCCCATAAAGTCAATCCCGTTTCAAAAAATTTGCGTCCCTTAAAGTCATTCCCATTTGCCAAAAAAAGACCCATTTACCCTTAACCCTAAATTATTCCCACCAACCCCACTTTTGCCAAACCAGCCTATCCATCCCATCCGTCCTTATCAAAATACTTCCCTCTCCATCTCTCTACCTATGCCCCTTCTCTGTCGCCTCCACTTCCTCTCTTCCGATCTATCTTCTGATATCTTTTCCACGCTCCTAGTTCGAATTCGAATCACCAGTGATGGTGATTCGTGACCCTACGCTGCCAAGCTTCAAGCTATTAAGCGATACGTATGAGGAAACACCTAATCCTACGCGAAGGAGAACTTCTTTGAAGCATGGATTCCCTAAATACGACTCTGGAGATAGTGGATCTGGAACTTCCGATACGGATCCAACCTGGTGGTACCGTAAAAAGTTTTTTGGGGGAGACCATTTCCCGTCGGAAGATAAAGAAAGATCTGAGGAAGAGGACGGGGAGGACAAAGAATGGTGGTCCCGTAAGTGGTGAGATACAAAGTCTAGAGGGGGGGGTGAATAGACTTTGTTACAAATTTAAAACTTTTTCGTTTCTTTTGAAAACATGAAATGAGTATTAATCTAAAATTCTTGTGAACTTAGATTATGTGCGGAAGTTGATGGGTTATTGGAGCAGTAATCAATATGGATGGGTTAGTTTTCACAATTAATATAAACACAAATATAAGTAAAGATAAGAGAGAGAGACACACAAACTTTAACGAGGTTCGAAGGTGAGGTAATCCTTCTACGTCCTCAAAATCCACTATGTAGTTGGTTGTTGAATAATGAACCAACAATTACACTTTGTGAATTTTTGCACAGCATATCTTCGCAAGGCCAATATTGCTACTGCACTCGTGCTGGCTTTGTTGTTCCTTCGAAGGTTAGGCTTCTTCAACAACTGCAAAGTCTGAACAATAGGACTTGCAAGATCAACTTGTAGGAAAGTTGATGTGCCCCGTTTTAATCAAGAAGCTTGATTAAAAGTTGTATCCTTCAACGTGGTGTGGTACTTGAGGTAAGGAAACCTTCAAGTGTTTACACTTATAGCTCTTTGGAAGAAGGAGGAGTTTGCTTCTGGATAAGGAGTTTAGAATTCTCTCTTCATCAAGCTTTTTGGCTAACTGTGAATGAGATAGCTTTGTTAGTTGTTCGTTGTTGTAGTTCTTGTTCTCTGTATCTTCTTCAGTCTTCCATGGGAGCTATATATAGGTTGGATGGATAATCTATCCGTTGAAGGGAATAAACTATCCATTGCATTTGCTGGCTTCAATTTGAACGAAGAGGGAATTGAGGATTCTCATTGGAGTGGGTGTTTGGCCATACCCAATTGTTTTTGAAGAAGGATTCCTTTATCATAAAATCCGTCCTTTAGCTGTTGTTAAAGAATTCTGGACTATAGCTCTTTATTGAGTGGAGTACCCATTTTGTTTTCTTGTGTTTGTTCAAGAATTCTGGCTGAGCTCTTCAATTTGAGGAGTCCAGACTTTGTCTTCTTGCCATTTGTTCTTGAATCAGCTGAATTATCCTCAATCTAGCCGTTGAAAATTAAGAGATTGATTTTTCCTTACCAACGAGTAGAATTTATTCATTCATGACTTAGATAAATTTCTAATTCTTTTCTCACTTGTCCGCTTCTGAGAGTTCCGGTCTGCCCTTGAGACATCCGGTTCTTAGCTTGACAGTTCCGGATAAGTCATTCTTAGACTTCCGGGTGAGAAAGTGATCCACGCTAGTCTTCTGATCCGGATGCCTTAGCCTCCAGCGGATTGTAGTGAGACTTCCGGGTATCAATGAGCATTCCGGGTTTGAGAATTCTAAAGTAATTAGACTTCTTTGAGAATTCCTTTCTTGTCTCTGATAATTCCGAACGAGAGTTCCAATTTCCATATCACTGAATTTGGTAAGTCTTCAAAGTACAAACTCAAAATAAAATATCACAAATTTTTTTTGAAATCTCAAGAACTTGGTTTTAACAATATTTCTAAAAAGAAAATTACATTGAATAATGTGGGAGACCTAGAGTCCCTATTACAATCTAAATACATCATCATCAAAATCTATAATTTTTTCCAACAAAGAATCTCTTACGTCTGGCCCTTTGAGCTTCTGCTAAGTAAGTCAAAGGGAATATGCCTATCTTGCCATCCCACATAAGTTCCACATCCTCCCCATACCTTGGCCTACCAACATATGCTAAAAACATTCATTTTGGGTAAGAAATTTTTGTTTTGAACTCTCCAATATGGGCCTGCTTCATTTGGTAATGCGTAAAATGTTATGCTCTTGTTGCTGATCTCAAACCATTTTTATCAATATTAATGTGATCATAAAAGTCATGAAAGGTTGGGTTCATGGGGATGGATTGGGCAACAACATGCTCCACACAGAATTTAAGCCTTTTAAGCTTACCTGCTTCACTTAGAAGTGGCTTAATGGCATTGGAATGCCTCCTGATCTGTTTCCATTGAAGCCATCTATGGATAGTTGATTTTGAGACCTTCATAGCATATCCAAGTGCACACATGTTTTTTTGCCTATTAAAAGGCACACCTACCATTTTTCTGTGTCAATAGCTATTCTTTTTCTCCCACACTTTCCTTTCCACTCACATTGAAAGAGCTTTAAATGTTTGGCATTCAATGAATACCTTAAATAGAAGTGTGTTAATTTTTTTTGTTTTAGGTTTTGGAGGGATAAGTATGGAGGGAAACTAATTTCCCAAAAAACTCAAACTTTTTGGATGTTTTTAGAGCAGCGGCAGTGGCGAGGGGTTTGGTTGCCATGCCACGCCACCTCAGCCCAAAGCTCCACTTTTTTCTTTTTGCCTCGCTTGTCATTTTCAATTTACCATGCATGGAGTGTCTTGAGCGTGGCATATTTTTTCTTTTTGATAAAAAATAAACATCAATTTTTATTTGAGAAAGATATTTGTGATGAGTTAATGAAATTGTGCAGTGGTTCCAAAAAAAAAGATTTTTTTTGTAAAGTAATAAAATTATTTTTTACTTTCTTCATCTCGCAATAGATTATAATTTTTTTCTCTCACCACTCGATATCTTTTATTTATTTGTATGTTTTCTTTGATTATTTAATTAAAAAAATTTTGTCACATCCTTTTTTGTAGAAATTTTGATGTAATTTTTAAATTTATAAGTTTTATTTTTAATTCTTATACCAATTTTTAAATGAAATGATTTTTAAAAATAGAGAGTTTTTGCATCGTAATTCTAAAATAATAATCTAAATTGAGATGAAGGAATAAATAAAAATATGGAGTAGATAACAAGTAAAATAAATTGAGATGAAGGAGTAAAATAATTTTTAATAAATTGAGATGAAGGAGTAAAATAATTTTTAATAATTCAAATATGGCAAAAATACGAAAAAAAGTGATGAAAACATTGACTTGCCACTGCAAGGCATGCCACTCCACTCACGTGCCACTCGTTGACTGGACTGTTTTTTATTGGTTGAAATGCTCCACGTCAGCGTGTGGCATTCCATTTTTGCCTCACCATTATTCATGCTCTTAGCCTGACAGCTCTCTCGTGGAAGAGATGTAATCATCAATGTGTATCACAACTCATTTAATGCAATTGTACTTGCATTTGTACTTTATTCTTATTTTAATATTATTACACACTATTCACTTATTTGAGGTGTTCCACTTCTACTTTTGCTTTTGAGGATATTTTGGGAAGGTCAAGGGCCAAAAATGCATTCCTCAATTTTCCACTTTGGTCAAACTGTCTCAATTTTTATGTGAGGGATGAATTATTAGATATGGGTATTTGTTTTTATTAAATTGTCTTTATTAAAATGTTGAGTATGTGCGCCTCTCCCTTCCAAAGCTACCAATCAAAGCTCCAAATCTCCCAACAAGCCTTCATTCTCTCTCCTCCCCTTCTGAATTCGGCGTCACAGAACCAGCGCCACAAATCCCTCCGTTCTAACTGATAATTCAACCGTTTCTTTCAAAGAGGCATCTCATCTTCACTCTTCGCTGCTTTTACTTCCAGCCTTAATTCTTTAAATCTTAGAGAATGAATAATTGAGCAACAACATCCATAAAACAGAAGAAGAGAAATTCTTAGCCACAGTAACTGTAATTTTCCTCTTGTTGTTCTCATCCGCAGTTTAAAATGAGTTGAATGTGGCATTTCCGGTTCTCATCTGTAATTTTCCTCTTGCTGTTCGACATTGCTTTTTAGCTTTCCTCCTGATATGCTTTATGCAATTCTTATTTGAATTCTGATTTTCCCAGTTTTGATATGATCCTCTGGAATAGTGTATATTTAATTTAAGCTGTTGTTTTTGCAGGTGTGGAGATACTTTTGTCATGGGTGAGCGGGAGAGACACAGAATCTTAATGGTGTCTGATTTTTTCTATCCCAATTTTGGTGGTGTAGAGAATCACATTTATTACTTATCTCAATGCTTGATGAAGCTGGGTCATAAGGTTAGGGTTTAACGTAATAATTCACATTGCTCTCATTAAGGTTCAATTCCCTTAGTTATCTAGTGTTTGTTAGTAGTTTATACAAAATTCGTACATGCTCTAACCAGCAACCCTAAAAGAAATGAAAATAGAGTTTTCTCCCATATTTGGCATGATTGCATTTAAGTAGGAATTTGTGATATCCCTTGTGTATCGGTGTATGGCTACGGTGAAAAATGAAATTGGCCCTTTTTGGATTTGCATAGACATTTGCAGCAAACTAACAGTCCCAAAGAAATCGGCCCTTTTTGGATTTCCTCCATCAGAAAAATGGATCAATATGAGAAACAAATGGACATTTTAAAATTTTATTGCTGGACAGAATTCTTTAGAAGAAGGTTTGTAGCCAATTAATTAATCCTGATGAATCGTTCTCTTCTATAATACTGTTTCTAGGGAGTTGGCCTTCTTAAAAAATGTAAAAAGGCACCACAACACATCCAACCTTATTAATTAAATTTTTTTAACAGATAAAAAATCAATAACAATGTCTTATGCACCATCAACACAGATGAAACAATTGGGTGAAACATTAAAGCATAGTTTTCCATAAAGATGGTTCTTAATACAATGCAATTGTTATGCTCTTTTCTATGAAGTTAGGTGGTGATTATGACTCATGCTTATAAGAACCGATCCGGGGTGAGATATATGACAGGAGGATTGAAAGTTTACTATGTACCCTGGAAGCCCTTTCTTATGCAGAATACAATACCAACCTTTTATGGTACACTTCCTATCGTAAGGACTATTCTCATCAGGGAAGATGTGTCATTGGTTCATGGACATCAAGCCTTCTCTACTCTTTGCCATGAAGCTCTGATGCATGCACGTACCATGGGATACAAAGTTGTATTCACTGATCATTCCCTTTATGGGTTTGCTGATGTAGGAAGCATTCACATGAACAAGGTACTGCAGTTTACTCTAGCTGATGTAACTCAGGCTATTTGTGTTTCTCACACAAGCAAAGAGAACACAGTATTAAGATCAGGGTTGCCACCAGAAAAAGTTTTCGTCATTCCTAATGCTGTGGATACCGCCATGTTCAAGCCTGCTCCAGAAAAACTCAGCCGGGAGGAAATTACTATAGTTGTGATAAGTAGATTAGTTTATAGGAAGGGGGCAGATTTGCTTGTTGAGGTTATCCCTGAAGTATGCCATTTACATCCCAATGTGGGTATTTCTGAATAGCTTGATTAGACATATCTTGAGTGTCTTTTTGAACAATTTTAAATTTACGCAACTCACCTTGATCCATGCTAGGTCCGCTTCATTATTGGAGGTGATGGACCTAAACGAGTGCGCTTAGAAGAGATGAGGGAAAAGCATTCTCTCCAAGATCGAGTTGAGATGCTGGGAGCCGTGCCACATGCTAAAGTACAATCAGTACTGATAACTGGCCATATTTTCTTGAATAGGTAAATCATATTCGTTTTGGGATGTGTGCCTCTCTGGTTCATTAGAGCATTGGGTATGCAGCTTTTATGGGAGTATCCCGATTCATAATCTTATACATCAACTTTAAAACAGGATGACTTAAGAGAGAAAAAGATTAGTAAGCACAAAGAAATCCATGAAAACTTACAGTTCATGCTCAGAGGAATAAGTAATGCCAAAGGCATTCACATTTCATTGTTTCATACCACTAATATTTTTCATAGCATACAAGGCTTTTGACTTCTGAGAGTTCATACAATCATAAGTCATCCTGTGGCACGGCTGACTTAATTCTGTAAATGTTTCCCCAACATTTCTCTTTACCTAATTCTTACATTTTGTGTACTAGCTCTTTAACAGAAGCATTTTGTATAGCTATACTAGAAGCTGCAAGTTGTGGATTGTTGACAGTCAGTACACGTGTCGGAGGAGTTCCAGAAGTATGATCATTATATAGTATATACTTTCTTCACTTCACTTGATTGTATTTGTATATCAGTTATTTGTTAGCAGGTGATCTGAATTTAGGTCTCATCATTTTTCTTTTCTTTTTTGTATATGTATGTTGATGATCAATCAGGTTCTTCCAGATGATATGATTGTTCTTGCTGAGCCAGATCCTAGTGATATGGTACGAGCAATCACAAAGGCAATCTGCATGCTTCCCAAAATTGATCCAATTTTTATGCACAACCGTGTAAGTAATTGCATGTAATGCTTTCTTTTATTGCTTTTATGCTCGGCCAACAGGTGATATTGGGACCTAATAATAGTAATAATGTTATTATCCAACTATGGTATACTTATTTTTCATCCAGATGAAGAAACTGTATAGCTGGCATGATGTTGCCAAGAGGACAGAGATTGTGTATGACCGTGCTCTAAAACACTCAAATCCTCCTCTACTAGAACGACTGTCTAGGTGTGTAAAATGCATTGTAATTATTTTATTATTATTATTATTATTATTATTATTATTATTAATTTTTTTTATGCGGACACTGTTTTGCTAGATACCTCACATGTGGAGCTTGGGCAGGGAAACTGTTTTTCATAGTCATGTTAATTGACTTCTTGTTATGGTGTCTACTACGACTCTGGCAGGTAAAGGTACCTTTTATGGCTAGTTTGCTTGCTCCTATTTTTTCTTTCCAATTTTAATTGTTCTCTGTGATTTTTACTAGCCTGACAGTGAGATTGAAGTGGTGCCAGACATTCCTTTGCTGAAACCGCAACATGGAAAGATGCCACATGGTTCTAATGAGGGGGAAAACATTTCGATGACATACTCAGCTCAATCTCGGTAATGAAAATTTTGCATTTTTTATTTAGAAAATCGTGTAACTTGAGAAGAATGTGTTGAAAGACTAACATCAGGTAAATGTAGTATGGGACAATGTGTGGCTGTAGTAAGGATATTCTATTCCTCTGTTTTTTAGTATATGATTTTCAGTCATGTTTGGATGGTGATTACATTGTGGATTTTTAGTATGATTTAGAGTCAGTGAAATACTAAAATCATTACAAAAAATGTTTAAAATGTGATGATCTTGAGCCATTTGTTGCATTTTTATGCGCTCTGTCTTTTTTTAGAGAGGGAGGGTAGGAGGGAGGTTTGATTGGGTATCGGCGTTAATAGCGGCGAATTCGTTGAAAAGAAAAGGGCATGTTGGATTTAGTAGTGTTGTTTTGGGTGATTTAAACATTAATTCACCAGTGGGGGTGGGGGTGGGGGATCAAGAAACACCAAGTTCCCATTCCCAGGCATACTGGTGGATGAACTGAGCAATTAATTGCATGACAGTGTACCTGAGAAGGTTCAAATATCAGAATGACTGACTTTAATTAGGATTGAAGGCCTTACACTTCATCAGTTGCACTTGGCAGGTTAGTAAAAATGTGAAATTTATGCAAAATATCGTGAAGAAATATATCAAATGAAGAAAGGAGCTTAGAATTAAAAGGGCTAATCAAGCTCACATTGTTTAATGTTATTGATTCGATTACAATCTAGTATCTGTTTATACTTTTCTTACCTTAGTGACGCACAAATACCCAATGACTCTGCCTCCATTGAGGCTTGAACCTGGTTGAAATTTTCCATTTATTATGGGGAGTGATCTTTTTATCACTCAAGCCAGGAAAGAAGTTCAATCAAACTCACATATAACAAAGGGAGTCATGATGACTAATTTATGTCATGTAAATCTTTTACTTTTAAAGTACTTGGGAAATACTTTTATAATATGTAAATGTTTTTACATTACTTAAATCATACATCAATAGAAAACATAGAATAGCCTTCCACATTTGTTAAACACAAATGAAGAATTATATGATTCAATAATTAATTACAATGTATTCCCCTCCCCGTATATACATGTAGGAGGGTTAAGAATAAGGAAACTAACATTAATGAGGAATCTTGTACAAATATAGAATCTACCATATATAATGATAATATTAAATATGCAATATTACTTAACATATTTAACATGCTACCAACTCCGTCGGCGATCTTCGGACCCCAAAGTTGTGTGGAAAATCAGTGAAAAGAAGCGACAGTAATCCTTTTGTGAAGATGCCTGCAAACTGGAAGAGGATGGTACATGAAGAACTCGAACCTGCCCTAGAGCAACTTTTCTCTAACTAAATGAATATCTACTTCAACATGCTTGGTACGTTGGTGCTGTACTGGATTTGAGGACATGTAGACATCACTGATATTGTCGCAGAACACAATGGTGGCTCGTAGTGGTTGATTAAGTTCAAGAAGAAGATTTCGAATCCAACTGGTTTCAGCAACATCATTGGCAACAACTCTGTATTCTGCCTCAGCACTAGATCTGGAGGTGGTGGCTTACCGCTTGGAGGACCATGAGACCAGGTTGTCCCCTAAGAATACACAATAACCAGAAGTGGAGCGTTGCGTGTCAGGGCACCCTGCCCAGTCTGCATCAGAGCAAGCCTGAAGGAAATCCGTGGAAGAGCGAGAGAGAGTGATCCCATGAGTGACTGTACCCTGGAGATAGCAAAGGACCCGTTTTAAAGTTGTAAGATGGGTCGTTCGTGGAGAGTGAAGATAGAGAAAGAGTTGGTGGACTGCATACATGAGATTAGGCCGTGTGAATGTAAGATACTGAAAGGCACCAACGAGGGAACGATAGAGAGTGGCATCGACTACGAGTTCCTCAAAGGTGGTAGATAATTTCCCTTTAGAGTCACCCGGTGTGGAGATGGGCTTATAGTGTAGCATACCTGCCCTGTCCAGAATTTCATGGGCAAACTGCGTCTGATGCAAGAAAAGGCGGCCTTCTTTGGTACGCTGAACACTAATGCCAAGAAAGAAATTAAGCTCCCCCATGTCAGTCATGGCAAACTCATCCTTCAAACATGTCGTAATCTGAGATAAAAACATAGTGCTTGAAGCCGTAAGAACTATGTCATCCACATATAAGAGTAAGTACGCCATATGTGACCCATGTGTGTAGACAAATAGAGATGTGTCTGTTTTGTAACTCTGAAACCCAATGTGCCAAAGGAAACCAGCAAATCGTAGATACCAGGAGCGAGGAGCCTGTTTTAAATCATAGAGAGCCTTCTTGAGTTTGCAAACGTGATATGGACAAGAGGGATCCTCAAAACCAGATGGGTGTCGGGCATAAACAGTTTCCTGAAGGTGGCCATGAAGGAAAGCATTCTTGACATCCAGCTGGTGTATCGGCCAGTCCTTAGAGAGGGCGAGACTAAGGACAATACGGATGGTGGCCGGTTTGATGACCGGACTGAACATTTCGCTGTAGTCGACGCCAAAACGCTGGTTGAACCCTCGAACAACCCAACGAGCTTTATACCTGGACAGAGCACCTGTGGGGTCAAATTTATGTCAAAAAAGCCATTTGCATGATATAACATTTTGGGTGGGGGAGGGGGGGTACTAATTCCCATGTGTTATTCTTGATTAACGCATTAAATTCATCACACATTGCATCATACCAATTTTGATCTTTTAGTGCACTACTGTAGGTGGCAGTGGGGAGAAAAATGTTGTGGTGTTGAGATTTAGGGTGGATTTTGGGCGGGAGATTCCGGATTTGGCACGGGTGGTCATCAGATGGGTGTTGAGAGGGGGGTTAGACGAGGCCTGGTTGGTGGGTTGGGCCGAGGAGTGGGATTGGGCCGATAGGTTAGGGGTGGGTTGGGGATTAGTTTGGGCCGTTGGATAGCTGGAAGGTTGGGCGGAGAGGTGAGTGGTGGGTTGGGGATGAATTTGGGTCGGCTGAGAGGAGGATGGTTGGGCCAAAATTGGGTTGGGAAGGGGGTGGGGTGTTGGGCCATAGGTCCATGAAGAATTATATGATTCAATGGTTAATTACAATGTATTCCCCTTCTCTTATTTACATGTAGGAAGATTAAGAATAAGGAAACTGACATTAATGATGAATCCTATATAAATATAGAGTCTACTATATATAATGATACTTTTAAATATGAATCATTACTTAACATATTAACAAAATATGAAATTACTCCCCCAAAATAAGATTATACTACGATTGAGCGGGCACAATAGCCTAGGAACAGTCATTAGTAAAGATAAAGAGTGGTAATTTTTTTGTTTGAGATAGGGTGAGTAATATATATGCATGACGCAACTATTCTTAGAGCACCTACAATGGTGCCATTAATCACCGTTTAACATTTTGAATGAATGAATCGGATGGAGAGAGGTTGTAAAATATTTAAACTTTTAAACACCATTATGATGAAAAATGGTGTCACCCTAAATTATAAAAGAATTCTAATCTTTTCTCTTTTTAACAAGCCAAAACGTAAGAAAAAAAAGCAAATACATTAATTTTATGTTTCAAATGTACACCCACCATTTCTTTGATTTCATATTTTAAATTATAAGAATAATTATATTATAATAAGTAATTAATAAAATCATTATAATGAGTGATTTTAATTTTATCACAAATTTAATTAATATAATGAATTATAATTAATATTATCACTATTTAATTATAATGGAAATACTTATTCTAACAATTAACTATAACTAATATAATACTTATAGCTGAACATATTTGGATGGATAGTTGAACATATTTTGGCATACTATCATAATAATAATAAATACTAAATAATAAATAAATAATAATAATAATAATAATAATAATAATAATAATAATTAAATTTTAACGTGATGGTTGCATTTCAATTGATGTAATGTCTTTGATAAGTTTTTTTTGGAAAAAAAGTACTGTATTTTTATTTAGTAATTATAGTTTGATTTAATTTATATTAAATTTTTGTAATTTCTTCTCTAATTTGATTCTTAAATTCAATAAATTTAATATTTAATTTCTATAGTTTATTTTTCATTTATTATGTAATAAAAAATTTAACATTATTTTATACTTATTTAAAATAATGACTAAAGTAAATTAAAAGTGGGACTCATTAATAATTAAATGGATGAAATGGATTGTGAGTGTCTATTTAGTGAATAAAGTATTTAAAGATGATTTAAGCTATTTGTACACCAATAGTTGTACTCCATTTTGTACCCTAAAGGCATGCACTGATATTTTGTGCTAGTTTAATGTTAGTGTGATTATTTACATTGACAAAATATGTCAGTGTACATTTTTTTAATTAAACTAATATTTTCTGCCCGTGTGAACCATTAAAATGTCTGTATTTGTTTGGGGTATAACTTGGAGTACATTTTTGGTGTACCTCTATCATGGTTGATTTAAAGATAAGTGATGTGCAAGAGAGAGAATGATTGGATGAATAATTTTTTTATTAAGGGATGTGTGTGCTGTAATTGGGTTGTCCTTTGACTCCTTTCACATGAAATCTCATAGTCATAGGGGTGAGCAAGTACCGAACCGATACCGAAATTTCCCGAAAAAACTGAGAATACCAAACCGAAAAATATCGAACTGAAAAAGTACCGAGAAGGAAACCGTACCGAGCCGAATGGTCGGTACGGTATTTGGGAATGGTACGATGTGACGTCCCATACTGAAAATCCCGAACCGAACATATATACTAAAATATTATTTAAAAAAATAATACCCCAGTGTAATATTTTTATATTCCTTCACTAAATAATAATTTAAAAAAATTGGTTCCAGTTCTATTATGTGTAAATTATACTTTTATATGGGTTTTCGTTTTTGTGTGTGAACATTAAAATATTCAGAAAGATTTGAAATACTCCTGTGTTGTCGTTCATGTTTTAGTTTGTGAAATATAAACTAAGTTTTGATACACATCTCTTGCATTTGAATATTCAATTTTTTAAATTTTTTATGTTTTTTTATTTAAATTCACTTTTAATTTTCAAAAATAAAGGGGAATTGTTTAATTTTGAGGTGTAAAGTAGGTATGTATATTCATCCCGATTTGTATCGAAAACGAACCATCCGGAACCATACCGAACCGATATTTCGAGATCGGAATCGGTACGGAAAAAAATCTCATACCGAACCAAAATATTTGGTACGGTATCGGTACGAGCTAAATACTGTACCGTACCATGCTCACCCCTAAAATCTCAAGTGTTTGGTTATGTAGTGTCTCACAACTCCTCACCTCTATGATTTGTTGTGGCATAGCCATATCAGTGGTGATCACTTAGAACACCCCTCCGCGTGATCATGTTGTGAAGGAAGGCTAGCTATGGTCACGACCACGGTAGTAAAATTTAATTTTGTTTTTAGTTTTATTACGTTTTTCTTTTATAATGTTTAATTTGTTCATAACCTTTTGTACATAAGTTATTAATTGTCAACGAATATGCCGTTTGATTTTTTTCACAAGATCTATCCGATGACAATAATATTACACATATAATTTTGACGTTATAACTCACTTGTGCTTTCACCAAAACACTTCCAAGTTGAACTTATTATTATTTTTGGAAGAAAACACATTTTAATTATAATTTATATCACACTTATATTTTTCCTATAAAAAATGTGTCGTATGAAAAAAAAGTTGTGATCCTATTTTTAGTTGTACAATAATAAAGTTTTTTCCTTATTACGGAGTATTATTTTTTCTTGTTTCCTTGACAATGGAAAAAAAATAAAATAGAATGAACTCATTTTTTTATGTTTATGTTTTTTAATTTATCTTTTATAATATAAAAATACAAAAGATCAAAAAGAAAAAATATAATTCTGAACAAAAGAAATAATAAAATTGAAAGAAAAAAAAGTAATAATAAACCAAAAATCATAAAAAATAAGTTTTATTCTTTTATAAAGGATATAATTTGTTTTGAAAATAGTTAGGTGAGTGTTAAATACTCCGTAAAAAATAAAAATGTAATCATTGTAGTGGAAGTGAGACACTACGAGTGTGAAGCGAATGAGATGATGAGTACATTCAGTACTGATTTTACTACTGATTTTAGAGGGAGCCGTGGTGAAGCAATATAATAGCCTTAATAGCACTGAATAGAAATCAAAAGTAATTAGTTTCTAATGAATTAATTCTAAGGCTACATTAATATTATCGTGTTTTGTGTTTGTTTTTTTTTGGGAAATTTAAAAATGACATTTCATAGATTCCAATATAACAGCCTGCTTTCCTCTAGAACTTTAAAGCAATAAAAATCTAGATCACATCAAGCGAGTTCGAATGTGAGTGCGGATTTGAGTGCGCAAAAGCGCTAAAATTTAAAGGAACGAGTGCGAGGGTGTCTTAGGGTTTGTTTGGTTGGAGAGAAGGGGAGGGGAGGGACTCAGAACCCTTACCCTTGTTTGGTTTAAAAACATGGAGGGGAGGTGATCCAAAATTTTAGCTTCAATTGTCTCCTTCTCCCTCCAAATAAATTATTCCGAATCGGACGAAATCTCTTTCCATCTTGTCTTTCTCTTCTTCCGTCAAACTTTTTGCCTTGTCAATAAAAAAACTAATATATAATAAAATTAAAGTAAATAAATAAATAGAAATACATTAAATCATTTGAAAACAACAACAAAACTAATAATAACAAAAATTGTATACTAATAAAATAAATAAATAAATCTTAATTAAAATATTAATAATAATAAAGGAGTAGATATAAAAAATAAGAATAAAAAACTAAAATTATTAATATCATAAAATAAAAACCCATGATAAAAATAATAACATAAATAAAAAAATTATTAATAAAAATTTAAAGTTGATAATAATAATAATAATAAATATTTATAATAATAAAATAAACCAATCTATTCATAATGGACTGTAGTAATAAATAACAAATAAAGTTATACACACACACACATAATTAATTAAATTTTAAAAAATAAATTACATAAGAAAATGAAAAAACCTAGAGTGTAGGATAACTAATAAAAATAGTAATAAAAAATTAAAATTATAAAAAATAAAATGAAAGAATTAAATAAAAAAACACTGATAATAATTTTTTGAAAATAGGTAACAAAATAAAATTAAAAATTAAAACTATAAATAAAATATTAAAAATAAAACATTTCCTTCTCCTCAACCAAACAAGGTGAAGGGAATCCTTCCCTTCCCTTCAATAATACCTATGCTTTTAGTGATGTCAATTATTTCGAACAATAAATAATACCCACTATTAGTCAATCTAAAAAATTTTAAATTCTCTCATTCTTGTTGGAAAGGGATAAAAACCACCAAAATACCACTCTTAGAAACTTAAAATACTCTAAATAGCAGTGCTATATTTTTCGTACATGTGATTCCGATTTTATCCTTTGATTAAACACCAAATATACATTACACGCTGCCAAAAAATAGACATTGTGGTTGTTCACTTGTAACTGTGTAGTGGGCAGTGTGGTTTTTTATATGTGAGTATATAATGTGGCAGTGTAGAATGAATATATATTGTTATATCTTACGGCAGTGTGTAAGTTTATTATTTTGTTCCTTAATTTCATGTTGGATGTAATGTTCATTGATTTGTGTGGCAGTGTTTTCTTGTATAAATTCTACACTATAAAAAAATTGTATGACTATTTTTATGTATGAGTTCCACAATGCCTAAAAATGTATAACTCTTTTTATGTATGAATTTCACACTATTTTCATGTATGAATTCCACACTCCCAAAAATGTGTATGACTGTTTTCATGTATGAATTCCACACTGCCAAAAAATGCATGACTGATTTCATAAATAATCTTTTACACCAAAATATACTGGCCAAACATGGGCGTTAATATATGAAACTTAATTTAATACGTACGAACTTTTTTAGGCATTATACATTGGTAAACTGCATAAGAGGAAGATCTCGTAGCGTTATGTTAAACGGCGTAGGATGATGTTCTCGCACGTATGAGACCAGTGGCGGAGCCAGGGTCAAAAGCTCGAGGGGGCACTACACTGGTACAAGGTCGGAGGACAACGCTCTTAGTTTTTCTAAAGATAACGTGAAATAACAAAAAATAATATCTTATTCGAAACAAGTATTCAAATAATTAAAATAAAAGAGTTTAAAAAAGAATTTCTTTATTGAAATTTTGAATTTCATAATAATTGTCACTTTAATTGAACAAAAAAATCTTAACATACACCAACTTAAGGGGAAAATTGATATTACCAAATTATCTTCTCCAAATTAAATAATACTATATATTTGGGGGAAAAATACGGTAAAAAGTTTAACTTTTACAATTTTTTTTTATTTTTTTGTACATAAATTGAGTATAAATTTAGTAAACTAAGGGGTATAATTTTTAAAATTAAAGTATTAGTCTTGTAAAACAAAGAACAAATTAACTACTTGTAGCCATTAGCTCCTACAAGAGAAATTGGATTGGAAGTCCGAAGTCTCCAAGGATTGCAGAATTGGAGTACTGCGGACGCATGTTGGGTCGAGGATTGCCGCAATTGGGCTACTGCGTACTGGGTCGAGGAGAAATGGTTTGGGTCAAAGCCCAAAGGAGTTATTTTAAACCCAACTCGAAACGACGTCGTTTTTTTTCTTTCTTCGACGACAGCAGTCGGCAACTGTTCTTCTTCGGGGTTCTGCTTCTGCGATTAGCTGCCGGACAGCGACAAATTTGGGGGGGCAAATCCGGCCTATCATCGCCGATTGGGTACCTGATGCTATTTCGCCGGGGGCACTTGCCCAGGCGCCCCCTCCTCCGTCCCTGTATGCACGAATGAGGAGGAGCCGCACGTATGAGGAAGAGTGGCTAAGTGAATAACCTAAGTTTATCCAAATAATTAAAAGTAATAAAAATAATACTCCCTCTGTCCCAAAGTATTTGTCCACTTTCATTTTTACATATCATCCAATACATTTCTTTAATTCATTTTATATTGTAATTTGTATATTAAAAAATTATAGAAATTATATATTAATAATCTACATGTTAAACAAAATCAAACAAGATCATGACTATATTTAGGCTTACACATTGAGAGAATTTGATGAGTCAAAGTGCTTAAATGAACAGTTCCAAAAGTCAAAAGTGGTCGAATATAGCGGGACGGAGGGAGTAGAATATAATAAAAAGTAGATGGTATGCTTGAAAGATATTGACACTATAAATAGCTAAATCCGTATAAAAGATTAAGGAGTGCTATATGCGTAATATTGAGTAAATTAGAGTGCTACGTATGTTGATTTCTTTAGATTTTAAATTCTCTCATTCTTTGTAATTGACCAATTTAAAGACTAATCATGTTTAACATATACTCAAAACATACTCGCTTCATCTCAAAGTATTTCTTAAATTTGATCTCTCTAATCAAACTGAACGAATACTTTTAAACGAAAGTATTATATCATATGGTTGGAGTTTAGAATTGTCAAAATTTTGGACATTTAAGAAATAATATAAAGTGATATATTCTCAATAAAATTTATAATTAGGTGAAATTCTTATTAATTTTATAAGAAAAACAAATTATATGAAATTCGATCTAAAGTATAAAAAAGAAAAATTAACAATTCTACAAAATTGGTAAACGAAAAAAGAAACCAATTTCTAAAATAATCTAAGAGTAAGGACCAAATTATTCCTATTTTGGTGAGAAAACTTGAGAAAACTATTTTTCTTATTAAATACTCCGTATATTTTCATATACCATACATACCACCGGTGTCATACTAGTTTAGTGGTTTGAGAGGATTTCTTAAGAAGAAATTGTAATTCAAATTTTCTATTAGGGTATAATAGCCATTCAACTTCTACAGCCCATCGAGGCAGTGATTTCGCCTCGCCGTCGCGCTAGCGTCGCCACCAGTCAGCAGCCTGCGTGCGAACAGGGAGTTCGTCCCAGGAGGAAGTGTATACCCTAGCGCCGTTTTCGTCCAACAGCCGCGCTACCGCTAAAAGGTGAGCCATTACAAGTAATTTTGAATATTAGGATTTAATGTGTGATTTGTTTTGCATTTTATATGAGTATTTTCCTTATTGCTACTCCCTCTACGGTAGATTGGCAAATACTCCTCTTCCGGCTCTTCGTTTCTCCACCCATCATATATCCTATCCTTAAATCTCAAATCTCAATTCTCCCTTTCAATTTGTATTTTTTTAGCATCTACCAATCCATAATCTGCGATTCATCTCTCAATCTCCATCGGAAATTAATCTGCAATTCAATCTCCTAGGGCGATTAATCTTCAATTTGTAATTTCTGACACCGGCGGGCAACGAAGTGACGGACATATTCAGTGGGTGGTCCGGTAGTGCTGAGACGGCGGAGGGACAGTTGGCAATTGGTTCGTCACTCTTCAAGTCCTCAATTTTACCAGGTTTTATCTTATTTTTAAAAATTAAAAAGATGGGTTACTGATTTTTTTATTTTTCTTTTTATTTTATTCAAAAAGATGATTTATGTTTGATATATTCTGAGAAATTACCAAAAACAGAATGTGTGGATTGTTGAGGACATCACAAAGATGGTAATTTTTTTTTCGGAGTGTAGATTGATTTTAGTAAACAAATGTTGAAACTCTTCACAGAGTGGTAAAAAGAAAGTATGCAATTTTGGTAATTTTAGCTGTCCTTTTCCTTGCCTCTTTTGTGTAGTGTAGCTCCTTCAGTAACATATTCTTCTATGTAGAATCTGGATTATTCTTTTGGGTTTTCTTGTGTAGATAAATTAGTGGATAAAAATCATGTCTTTTGATTGTTTTTTAGGTTGTCTCTTGTTCTTGACTTGGGATTAGCTTCTCTGCTTAATCTAGATTTTGAGCTTCATTACCATTTGATAGTATAAATAGATGCTTTCTGTCAAAATGCTGGGTAAATTGTTTGTTCATTCATGCTAACAATTTAATAGTGTACATTAATTTATTTGTCTTTAATTTTTTTTCTCCCCCCCACTCTATGAATTTCCTGGCTCTGCCCCTGCCTCTACCTTCTTTTTTTTTTTTTTGAATGCGCCTCTACCTTCTTTTTTCCCTAAAATCTTTCAATTTCTTTGGAAAGAATTGTTTGGTTCAGATCAACTCTTTTGCACCAGAAGCATGCTAGGTGTACACCACTTTGTACCCCAAGGCTTAACACTGAACTTTGATGGCTCACATTGACACTTGAATTTTTTTTATTGCACTTACATTTTGTGTTTGAACAATCAAATTGTTAGTGCAATACGTTGCGGTACAAAGTGGTGCGGACCAAGCTTTATTCTTTGCACAAACCACACACTTTCACCATTTTAAACTCAGTGTAAAAAGCAAATAGGAAGACTAATTAGGGATAGAAGGAGTATGAATTTATTTAATTGTTAGTTTTATCTCTTGATGGTTGATAGTTGAGTAATTGTTTCATTTTATCAAAACACACCCACTATTTAAAGAACCAAGATTTTGAAATTTATGTTGATAGTTGATATTTTCCAATTTGTGATGTGCAATTCCCAGTAGCTCACTCCAAGTTGATATTTTTGGGGGCTTGTTTGGTGAGGTTTGGAGACATGATAATATATGAGTTTTGAAATCTGGAAGAAATGATATGAGTTCTAAACTTTGAAAGAAAAGTGTTTAGAGAAAATAGAAATGAAAGCAAATCACAGTCACATATGTTTGGTGAGTAGTTAAGAAATCAAATGCAGGTATCACATATTAGTTTAATATATGTGTGTTATACCAAATAAAATGCACACTAAAATTATAAATGTAGGGGGAATATATTTGTACTTCCTATTAATGGAAGTCTAATATTTTCTATTTTTTAATTATAATTATTATTGTTATTATTATTAATAGTTAATCTTTAATAATTTTAAAAAGCAACCTGTGTTTATAAAAAAATATGTTTATGGGAAAAAAACTACGTATTGTATACAGATTAAAAACAATCAAATTCCATGAAAAAAATCTTATGTACGAATGAAACACATTGTTAAACAAAAAAAATCTAATTGTTTTTAAATTAACACAAGAATAAGAAATGAAATATTTTAGCCAAGTTTATTCTTTGTGAACGACCTCAACTTTTCCAAATGAAAAAATAAGACAAATTTATAATATTTTGGTAAACAGTTAGATTAAAATACAATTTGACAATAATTTATATGATTTGTGTGAAGAAGATGAGAAGAGGATAAAGTGCCACAGGTAAATGAGTCGATGATAGAAATAGCGCAAGTTGGTTCTATTCTTTTGAAAGTGGCTTCCTTGATTTCAGCAATAAGAGTGAGATATGGAGTGCTGGTATATTTGAAAACACTTATTCTAAACATTGCCAATAGATAGCTTTTTCAAAAGTTCAAAATGCTGAAGTTGTTTCTAAATGAGCCCTATATCTATCTCACTAAATTGTCAAAGGATGATTTCATATTTATATGTCAAGATAGCAAGAAATTAAAGGAAATGTGATACTCGATTTGACTCTTTCAGGTTTCAGTTTGAACTGCTATCTTTTTACGATTGATTAATAATTTCTAGTGCAAATTTAACAATAAATAAATACAGTAAATAAATAAAGTCCTGATCATATTGTGATACTCGCTCCATATCACATACTCTTAGCTAGATTTGTGATACTCCATATCACTCGCTCTTAGCTAGATTTGTGATATGCAATTATGATCAAAGTGATTAGTTTCTAATAGAACCAGTCTAGACTCTGGAATACCAAACGTTGAAAAGGTCAAATATAATTTATTATATATAGATTCTTAGCTAGATCTGTGATATGAAGTTATGATCACTTAAGTCTCAAGTAGAATACCAGTTTAGAATACCCAAATTTCATAGGCTCAACTATACATATTTAACTATGCACATTAGGTTGCTTTACTAATTTTTAATATAGTTCATGTGGTCATGTGTCAGGAAATATGTATTCTGATGGATGACTGTTCTGAATATTTTAAAATTTTGAGTTAAGGGACTCCATTTTTTATCTTGCACAAGTACATATCTTATTATATTTTCAATAAAATGTGAATTATATGTATATAGAAAAATCTCATCCTCCCTATAAATTTATCACAACCCAGAATCCAATTATCCATAGTTCATGAGAACAAGTATATAACTGCTCACCAGACAACAATGATTGACACTTGATTCCATTTCAGTTCTCTCAAAACAGTTTTGTTTCAGGTTAACAGGTTTCAAAACCTTTTCCATCCCTTCCTGATTTCAGAACCCATGTTTTGCTCACCAAACCGTCCCTTATTGAAATTATATTTCGTATACAACTCATAATTTCATAAGGAGCATATCTATGGAGGGGTTTAACTTTGAACCCATTTACAAATTGTAAATGATTCGGTAGGAGGCTCTTCTAGGACTGAGCGCCAAAAGACAGAGACACTATAGTTTATTTTTGATCTGCCAAACTAAACCAATTTTGTTCAAATAATAACAGGTAAAATCAAAGAAAATGTTGTATGTAATTGGTTTGGGCTTAGGGAATGAGAAAGACATCACTTTGAAAGGACTTGAAGCGGTGAAGAAGTGCAGCAAAGTATACATGGAAGCCTACACTTCTCTTCTATCTTTTGGCCACTCTTCAAATGGCCTTTCTGCTCTGGTTTGTTTTGTTATTGCTCATTGCTCTGATGTTTAGCATCTTTCAAGTGTTTGATGATGTTTTTTGTGTGCTAATTCAATTTATTTTCAACCATTGTAGGAAAATCTATATGGAAAATCAATTACCCTCGCAGACAGAGAAACTGTTGAAGAGAAGATTGACATCATACTGTTGGAAGCCCAGTCCTCTGACATTGGTTTCCTTGTAGTTGGAGATCCTTTTGGGTATTAACTATTAATGACTTCTCCATTTAATTAAGTTCTATTTTCTTCATTCTCTGTTCATTTTTTATGATTACTCCTTTAATTTTTGAATTGTTGTGCCATTTTATTTTTATTAAATTTGTTGTTTTGGCAAGTCATTTAGGTATTAATTTGGTGTCTAAAATTGTTTATTTTTGGCCATTCTAGCAGCCAATGTTCTGTCATTTGTCCCAATTATAATGATTTGATTATTTTCTTAGTTTTACACCCTAACACTGTGTTTGGTTTAAGGAATTTAGAAAACAAAAAGGTTTTCTCTCATATTTTTTTCACCAAAATGAAAGGAATTTGGTTTTCCCTTCTCCTAGTACATTTGCCTTCAGTCCTTCACATTTTCTTTTCCTTCTAGTTTTCTTTTCTTTTCTTCTCTAACCTACAACAACATTACCCCAGTGCCTCAAAGGCTCCTGCCCAGTGCAGGGTGGGGGGGGGGGGTGTCAGATGTGGCAGCCTGACATCTATGTTTAAAACATAGAGCGATGTTTCGGGATGACCATTGATGAGCGTCGAGAGTTGAATAAACTAACTGCTACTTCACAATAATAGAAACACAAACAGTTTATAGAGCAATTTTGCTTTATTCGATCATACCTCAAAGCCAAAAGATAGTGAATCTTTGGCTCCATCGGAGATGATGGAAATTCTTTTCTTCTCTAACCAAAGAATAAAAATTACTTTCCATCTCATTTTCTTTTCTTTTCCCTTTCAAATTCTTGTTAAAAGGGAACTTTGTAAACCAATTCGCATATAAGGGACTATACATTCTATGGTGATGGAATGATTGTTCCTCTTACTTAGGAAAATTTTAATTGTTTTTTCAAACCTGTAATTTTTCTTGTGGATTGCTTTATGTGTTTGAAAGTTTTAAAAGTAATGGATGGTATCCTTAACTGCATATCTGATTTAAATTATTTCCATCTTTTTACTCCCATCTTTATCCCAGAGCAACTACCCATAGCGATCTAGTTGTTAGAGCAAAAAAGTTGGGGGTGGATGTAAAGGTTGTGCATAATGCATCAGTAATGAACGCCGTTGGGGTTTGTGGTTTACAACTATACCGTTATGGAGAGACAGTCTCCATTCCCTTTTTCACAGAAACATGGAGGCCGGACAGTTTCTATGAGAAGATTCGTGAAAACCGGAAGCTTGGATTGCATACCCTCTGCTTGCTAGGTATAAGTGATACTGTGAGTACACAATTATCATACATATCTTATATGTAAGCATGTCTGTGATATATTTGTGAATGCTTCATTAGATGTTATGAGTTATGATTTATATTTCTCACCCTTTAATTTAAAGTAACCCAAACATACTGAGCATATCTGACTAGGTAATGACATATGTGCTCCATATTTTACTAGTTGCAGTCCATTTTCTGTTTTTAGGTGGTTATTGACTTAAGTGCTCATTATCAGGTTTAATAAAATTATAATGTTTTCTTATAAAAATATATTCAACAAATAACTATTAGAAATAAATATTCACACTTTATATTTCTTTTTTTAACTGAATGCACAAAATTTCATTACCCTAAGGAAACAACCAAACAAACAGCCATCAACAAGCTACCAGTTACACTCTATGCATCCTATAATCAATAATAAATTTACTATTAAACACGATATAAGAGCTGGTTTCTTGATGCATGTGTGATGAAGAGAACCATTTCTAACCCTCCAAATGCCAGACACAACCGCCCACACTGCTAGGTAGAGGCTTGTGCTTGCATTAGGACTGATCCTCCTTATCTCTTCACCCGCTTCCTCAAGCTCATTTGCGCTCCATCTAATCTCGAAGTCATTCCATATTGCTTGAGGTACAGATCATGCATAGTCACACTTCCAGAATATATCAATGCTTGTCTCAGGTTCCTTCCCACATAGATTGCATAATGCATCAGTGTTCAAGTATTTGTTCATCCTAACTTTTGTCAAAAGCCTTCCCTTCATCATCAACCACATTATACATTGACACCTTGGAGGGGTCAACTTATTCCAAACCCAATCTTTCCACATAGGCATATTTTTTTTCACCTTGTAGCCATTTATAATCATAACAGATCTAGTTTTCCATTCCTCTTGGCATATCAGTAAATTCCCTCTTAACCTCAACTATCTCTTTCCAGTAGAGTACTAGGGTAGCAAACATTAGGTTTGGGAATTTACTCCCAAAAATAGATAGCTTGATATACCTACTATGGACCTTCTTAACCCAAAAAATATCCTTTTTTGTTGCTACGTCCCAGTTTAGCTTCATAATAGCAGCCTTATTCCAATTGGACAAGTTTTTAATCCCCAATCCTCCATACTTCTTAGCAGAACAAATCTCGTCCTGATTTACTAAAGGAGTCTTCTTGTATTCAGCAGAACCTCTCGAGAGAAAATTCCTACATACACCTTGTATTTTTTTAATAACTGTTTGAGAAATGAAGGAGATCCTTGACCAGAATGTGATGATACCCATAAGGATTGAGTTAATCATTCTAACCCTTGCACTATAAGAGAAGTGTCTTGAACTCCAAGCAGAAATCTTACAAGTAATCTTATTTACCAGCCTTTCGCAACCCACCACCTTCAGTCTAGAGGCTGTTATAGGGCTACCAAGATATGTGAATAGCAGTTTACCTCTTCTCATAATAGTGATGTGGAGAANCCCCACACCCCCCAAAGACTATTTGTCTGTTTTTGATTTAGCCATGTTAATCTGTAGTCCTGTGCTAGTTCTGAAAATGCCCAAGGTCTTCATAATATTAGGTACAGATCTGCTTTCTGCTCTGCTCACCACAATCAAGTCATCTACAAAGACAAGATTACTGATCTTGAGGTTAGCACACATAGGGTGATAAGATATATTTCCCCTCCGAGCCATAGTCTAAAAGATCCTGGCTAGTTACTCCATAATAAGTACAAAAATGAGAGGAGAGACTGGGTCTCCCTGTCTGAGTCCTCTCCTTCCATTGGAATATCCATGTTGCCCTCCATTCACATTAATAGTATATGGAGTCGTAGCACAGAACATAATCCAATTAATAAACTGCTCTGAGAATTTTGGGCTGCACAAAATCCCTCTGATTGCCTTCCAACTGAGTGATATGCCTTTTTTTATGTCCAATTTCAGCATACACCTGGAGGAAACACCCTTCCTATTGTATCCCTTAGCAATCTCCTGGCAAATCAACACATTATGTAGGAGTTCTCTTCCTTGAACAAAAGCTGCTTGGTTCAAGTTTACAATATGAGGGCGGATATTTTTTAGTCTAGAGCAAATTAATTTTTAGATTGTCTTAGAGACCACATTACAGCATGCAATGGGTCCATACTCAGCCGGGCCACTAGGATTATCCACCTTTCGGATCACAGTAAGGCTTGTGGCATTTCTGTCTCTGTGTTTTCCCTGTTGTGAAGATTCCTGGACTGCTCTTGTGACTAACTAGCTTACCAACAATATTCCATTTGGCGTATTTGGAGCTAAATCAACTGCTCATGCAAATAATATTTTAAGAAATTAACTTGTGCTCACATGCATTGGCCCCTAGTGTAGATTTCTGTTTTTTTTAAGACTCAGTAACATGGCCAAATGGGGTGAACTTTAGGACTCTGAGTAACTAGGTTATTTTGAAATTCAGGGTTGGGAAGTTAACAAAAACTAATATAATATTACACTACCAGTTACTCTAGTCAAGCGGGAATGTGATACGGGCTGCTGCTGGGCATGGATCAAAATAATTTTTTCTCGCCTTGATTGTTGAACATTAGTTCCATCCTACTTTGTGATAGCTTTCATGATTACTATCATCTTTGCGGATGCATAGAAAAATGTCAGTCCAATTTTTCTGTCTGCAATCTGCATGAACTGCTCATAATTTCATAGTGATGATATATATTTTAGTGTCTCTTCTAACAATCTTCTTTTGTATACTTAAACCCCTATAGAAGGGCTAAATGTAGTTGAATTTGTTGAGATCGCTGTTGAAATGGCTGCACGGGCAGGTGACACTGAAATGTCTAAAAGTGTATTTGTTTAATAATTTAAAGGAAAAATATCTAAAATATGAAGGCAGAAGTGTGATTTATCTTCATTTGAGTCATTATTGAAGTCTTTTCATCAGAAGATGCAAGCCTTAAATTTTGTTTGTATCATAAGCTAAATCCGATAATGCAATAAAGTAATTGTTATTCAGTTGAAAATTTGCAAAGATAAAAAACTGTGGTTACCAAACAAGGCATTAACTGAACTATTTATATTGCAGATATACGAGTGAAAGAACCCTCATTGGAATCCTTGGCTAGGTTAGAGTTCTTACCTATTTTAAATACATTCTTCATGAAATAGCTTGTGATATATGCCTGAAATTCTTACACTTAGAGGAAAAAAGCTTTATGAGCCACCAAGGTACATGACAATAAGTACAGCAATTGAACAACTCTTAGAAGTGGAAGAATCCCGTGGGGAATCAGGTATTTGATTACACTACAAAAAAAATCATAAAATACTTCTGGTTTTACGTGGTAGAATTTAGAACTAGCTTTTTTTTAATTGAATTGCAGCATATAATGAAGACACTACTTGTGTCGGGTTTGCCCGTCTGGGTAGTGAAGATCAGAGGGTGGTTGCGGCTTCTATGAAGCAATTGATAACTTATGATTTTGGGCCTCCTCTACATTGTCTAGTCATTGTTGGCACTACTCACCCAGTGGAAGAGGAAATGCTCCAACTCTATGCTTGTTGAGAGTTTAATTTGCCTACCGGCCGTGAAGCCGCGGCAAAATTTTCAATTGTTGCAACACCACCTTACATTTTTCCTTTGTAGGTAGTTCATCCCTATTGAATGTTAATTACTAGTTTTTGAGGTTTTTCAGTTGTAGAACCTTTGTTTGTTCCTCTCTTTAGGGGAATGTTTATTTGGTGGACTGGTTTTGAGATTAGATTCTGATGTCATAATTATAACATTGGGCAACTATTGTGCTTGGTTTGTAAAATTGGTGATTTCTACCTCTTAGCTCCCAAAAGTGTTTGTGAATGAAGTTTGATAAAGAAAGTGAGAAAGAAATCACCAAAAAATGTAGTGAAAGTGAGAAATTTTTTTACTCATTATTATTTTATCCAATGAGTAAAAAAAATTTAGAAAGAAAGTGAATGAAGTTTGATCTCGTAAATTGTAAATAAGCAATTTAATTTGAAACAGAGAGACTAAAAATTTTTCCTGGTACTTGGTGGCATGTTTTTTTAATTTAATGAAATGATCAATGAAAGTGCATGTTCAAAAAAGTTGTCAGTAGCCTAAACATGTAAATTGATTTTATTAATTTGAGATGGAGGGTGTAATCTTTATCCTACCTTCACAATGACTAATGAGGAATGCTAGGGGTACACATTGCATCTTCATCCTCTATTTTTTTTTAAATTTTTTTTCTCTTGTTTTTGTATGGTGGGATAGAGCAGGGTACAAATGGGGTACACCAATAGACAATAGTGTACCCTTGGCACTTTTGATGACTAACATATTGTTACACGTAAAATGTATAACTGCATACTTAATATGACATTCAATTTAAAAAGGTGAACCTAGAAATGAATAATTATGTTACATCATCATGCAAAAAATTACTTTTTCCGTGTTAATTTAAATACTTTTAAATATTAAATTTACATATTTTAAAACTATATCAAAAGATCTACAGAACAAGATGTGACAATGTATATTATTTTTATCAATTGAGTAAATAGACGTGATTAAAGTTTGATTATATGAATAATAAATAAATAACTTAAATCGAGGTAAATTTCTAAAACGGTCATTTCTAAAAGAAGGTGTTCCCAAATTTGTTCTCAATAATGAGTAATTACTTACGCGATAATTTAGATTAATTTTTGAAATAGTCATCTACCATAAATTTCTATTAAATGTCATAAAAATTGAAGATATTTTGGTATTTTTAATGAAGTAATACTTATAGCTTGCTCTCTTCAAAAAAAAAGCTTGCTCTCTTCAATTTTTTACTTTTACTTATTAATTATTCTTAATGAAAGTAGATCAAATTAGAAATTAGAAATAAATTTAAATACATCTATAATCAAATCAAACAGTAATCAAATCAAATCAATCACAATCAAGTATGTTAAACATAACATGCTCGATCTTAGTGTCACTTCATTATTTGTAGCATGTCGGTAAATGTTGCGCAGTTGACAAATGTAAAGAGTGTCAATAGGGTAGACCCGAGTTAAATTCATGGCAACTACACTGAGTATCAACTACCAATTTTACGAATAATGCCTAATTTAACTCTTTTTAATAACCGTCCAGTCGGGTCCGATGATACTTTAGAGATTTTGGGGCATATCTTTTTTATTAAAGAAATCACTCTATATAGGAAAAAAGCTTTAAAAAAGTACCAAAATATGAGCTCTTTCTCTAAGTTTTACTCTGATTTATGGTCTTTTTTTTAACATTTTCCTAATTTTTTATTTTTATATTTTGTTTCTTTATTGATATCTCAAAGTATAAGACATTTTTATATGTAAAATATACGTGCAGACACAAAAAAATATGTGTATATATATGCTGTGTATATCTTTTTATGATATGAACTTATCGTAGAATATCATACACTATAAAAAATAAGAAAATAATTATCCCATAAAAAATTATAGTTGATTTAATAATATTTTGATTTAGCTTAATTAAAAATTAAAGTATTGTTTAATTTAGTTTTAAAAATTGGAAACGAATACGGATATATCCGATATCTGACCGATATCCAACGGATGCAGATACGATTTTGATTTTCAGTATCAGTCAAGATCTATATCCAAATTCGATATCCGAAAAAATAAACAGATATGAATTTGGTACTCCGATCCCATTAATATCTGGGCCTTTATTTCTATTCCTTCCTCGTTTCTGACTTCTGTCATCTCATTTTATCACAGATTCACAGTTGGAAGAAGAAAAATTAGATTTAAAAGGAAAAAAACCCCAAAAATCAGAGAAACGGGGAAGGAGAGAGAATGGAGCACCACACAACCACGAGCCGAGCTGAAGCGGAACGGCTGCTGGGCGTCTCAGAGAAGCTGCTTCTGAAGAAGGACTATTCCGGCTGCAAAGACTTCGCGCTGCTGGCTCAAGAAACCGAGCCTTTGCTCGAAGGCTCCGATCAGATCTTGGCCGTGGCCGAGGTCCACTTGGCGTCCGCCAGGAAGATCCAGAACCACCACGACTGGTACGCAATTCTGCAAATCGGGGGCCGGACTGACGATGCGGAGCAGATCAAGAAGCAGTACCGCCGCCTCGCCCTCCTTCTCCACCCCGACAAGAACAAGTTCGAGTTCGCCGACGCCGCCTTCGGCCTCGTCGCCGATGCATGGGCCGTCCTATCAGATCCGACGAAGAAGGCGCTGTTCGACAACGAGTTATCGGTCTATCAAAAGGTCGATCTGGTGCCGAAGAGGAAACCGGCGGCACGCCAGCCTGGATCCGCAGAGGCAGCGCGTGGATCTGAGGACGCCGGCCATAAACTCCCGGTGAGGAGAAGCTCGCGAGTAAGTAATAATAACGAGAACAGTAACGAAGGCAACGAGATTCACAACAATTTCACTCCCAACAACATCAACAGTGGGAACAATCAGAGTGGGGGCGAGAAGATGAACCCTAGGAGTGTCAGTAGCGGGGCGAGATCTCAAAGGTCCACCTTTTGGTCTGTTTGTCCCTACTGTTACAATCTGTATGAGTACGAGAGGCGTTATGCAGGGTGCTGTTTGAGGTGTGAGAATTGCGAGAAGGCATTCACAGCTGCAGAGATACGACAGATGCCGCCTCGGGTGCCTGGGAAGAATGCTTATTATTGCTGTTGGGGATTCTTCCCAATGGGGTTCGTGACGGGAAACACTGATGTGAAGAAGAGCATTTCCACTTCTGCTGCTGCCGTCAATGGCTTTCCGAATTGGATGCCTCAGATGTTTCCCGGTGGAGGAGGAGGAGGAGGAGGAGGAGCACCACCACCCACTGCCGCTGCAGACGGTGGCAGTGCTGCTACTGCGGCGGCACCACCAACCGGAGGAGAGAGGTTTGGGGCAGCTGGTGAGGGAAATGCTAATGTGATGGGGTTTGCGCCACCAATGCATAACCCAAACCCACCACCACCACCACACCCAGTATCCGGAGGGCCTAAGAAGAGGGGTAGGCCTAGAAAGAATCCTCTATAGACAAGGAGTTGGGAGTTTCTGCCCTCAAGAACTTTTATGTGCGTCTAAAATTTACCAGTTCATATGATTGATATGTATCAAGTTTGAGGGCAAATGGTGTAGGTGATTGTAGCTGTTTGCAGATTTTTCTTAACTATTCTGATATAATATGTTTATCCCAGAAATGGCTCTTGTTTGGAATGTAAGCTATCCGAAGCTGCTGAACTGCAAGTTGTTTCATCCTGTTTGTACTCATCAGTAAAATTTGAATGTTTGGCAGATGGTGTTTCCAGCTTCAGATTTTGTCTGGATGATGATTGATTAATCCCTTGAGAGAAATAAAAGTATTTTATCTTTTTCTTTTTTGTTTCTTTCAACTCCTACAATTGGGTTTGAAATGTTGATGCAATGCAGGCTTATACTGGTGTCAATGTGGAATTTGGTTGATGTTTGTCTTGATTGATTGTGTATGTTTCATTTTGGCCATGTAGCCGTAGGGCTGTTCATCGGTCTAAACCCTTACTGGACCGAAGATCGGAATACGCCAAAACCTAGAAAGATCAGACTTAAATGTACTCGCTTCTGAATCGGACCGAAACCATATGGACCAAACCAATCCAGGCCGAAAGGACCGAATCAATGCTTAAAAAATGAGTTTAGATTTCAATTTTGGTGAAAAGAGTAGTACAAGGGACTTTATAAAGTCTTAAAAAATGAGTTCAGATTTCAAGTTTGGTGAGAAAAAAAAGTAGCTCAAGCTACTTTATAAAGTCTAAACACATTACACATAAAATCCAAACCTTATAATTCAATGTCTAAACACAAAGCCTAAACACATTACACTGGAAAAAAACAAACAATGTGCAAAAAAGTTCGATTCAAAGCATTCCAACTCCAAATCGCCATTATACATGACTCCATGTGCCTATTTATACAATAGTTCCGCTTCTACGATTTGTCAAAGATATTAATATTGAGTTGAAAAACACAAAATATAAATTAAATTAATTTAATTTATGGATCATTAACATTTTGCTCTTAAAAGCCATAACACATACTCCGTACAACGTAATTATAATAAATTCATGCGTATACTTCAACTTACCTCAAGTCTTTCAAACTTACCCCACACACACACGCACACACATATATAATGAGTTAATAATTTTTTTTCTAATAGCTAATAAATATATTAAATGGTTATAAAATATTTTAAAATATAAATATATTAAATATTTTTAAACGAATCAAATATGTTTAATAGATTAAACGAACTGAATATGAATCTTAAAAAAATTCGAACTGAATTTGAATTTGAATATGAATATTCATGAATATTAGATTAGATTACAAACCCTATTAGAGAGTATTAGAGACAGCAAATTCCAACCGGAGGGAAAATTCAGATTTCAGAAAACAGCGACCAATAGCCCCCCGGAGGCAGTATCGCAGGAAGAAGAGATTCGCAGGTCCAAGGGGAAGGAGAAGCAGAGAAGGTCTGTATACCCAGTACTCCGTATATAATACTCCGTAGTAGAATGAATATATTCCTAATTTCTATCGTTACTTTGGCCCTAAATCGAATCGCGGTTCAGCTTCTTACGCGAAAAAAAGGGTGGGGTTCTAGCCGCACCCAAAACCCCCCCTGCGACGGGAATCCGTGTGGAGAGTAGTCGGCGACGAATCCCGTCTCCTTGCGAGACGTTTATGAATTGCTAGTTGCCGCCGAATCCGCCCCCGCTGCATTTCCGGCGCGCCGAGCGGCACTCAGCCGGCGAACCCGTGCAACCTCCTAGCCTAAATCTACCGAACTTCATTTACCTACCTTGTTTGAACTTAATCTATCTTGTTTTTTTTTAAAATCTGTTTTCTGAGTATAAGTATGTTATTTTTCAATCATTTTATTTAAGTCGTTTTTAAAAGCTAACTATAAATCTTCTACATTTCCAGGTCATATAGCCCAAAACTTCCAAATTAATGAAAGGCAAGGGATAACATTGTTCATATTAGCATTTTTCTTGTGATATGCCTCGCTCATGGGCTCGAGCTCTTTCTGCAAGAAACTCCCATCACCACTATGTTGGGATTTTATCTAGAATAGCATCCTTGCATGCCTATTGCACTAAGCCCTGTAAAGGTGAAGCTAAGGTGTTTCCATTTTCTAGTGGCAGCTCCTCTCAAGCAAAATGTGGTAATTCTCTTTTACTTCCTCTTTTTGATAAAGTTTGTTGCTTTACATGATTCTTTGTTTGAGAGTTGATGAAAAAATTCTCTTTTTTAATCACATCACCTGGATAGGAAATGATGGAAGGTTTGTTGGATTTTTTTTCCCATGGAAATTATATACCTTGAATCTGAACGTTGATTTCAGTTGTTTGTGGCACTATTTAGGTTTATCCTCTTGTCATTTCACAAGACATGACATTGAAACAGCTACTTTGGATTCAAGATGTTATGAATTGTTCCCTCTAGCACACCCAGTTGCTTTCACCAATGTCAGAAAATTATGTACTGTTTCGACGGCAGAAACGAAAGACAAATGGTCAGATTTTGGTTTCTCACCTGACGATACAAATAGCCAAGTAGAATTCAGTGGTGACAGCGATTCTATGACTGATGCTCATGAGCAAAAAGTTGTATTTTCCACAGCAGAATCAGTTGATTTCACTAAGATCGCAATTGGCAAACTTCCAACTGTTCTTATAGTGGGTCGCCCTAATGTTGGCAAGTCTGCACTGTTTAATCGGTTAGAACCGCTACGATTTTTTATATTTACTGCATTTAACCATGTCATTTTATTAATTTGGCTCTCTTGCATGTATTGATTTGTGATTTGTAGGCTGATACGAAGGAGGGAAGCCCTTGTGTACAACACACCTGCTGACCATGTTACTCGTGATATACGAGATGGGGTTGCCAAATTGGGCGATTTGCGTTTCATGGTGTTGGATTCTGCTGGCTTAGAGGCAGAAGCAACGGCTGGTTCAGTTCTTCAAAGAACTGCAGAAATGACTGGGAATGTGCTGGCAAGATCTCAGTTTGCACTATTCATGATTGATGCACGGTAATCTCACTTGCAAATCTCTTAGCATATTTTGTTTCAATCTCCCTGAAGCTTTTAGGAATGAATTAAGCATGCAGATAACTGGAACAAATGAAAGTTGATTTTGATTTGTTTAGAATCAATGAAGATAGTGCAAGTGAAATTGAAACAACAACAAACCCACTATAATCCCAACCCGTTAAGAGTATGGGGATCAAGATTTACCCAACCTTACCTTGTGTAAAAAATGGAGAGGTTGTTTCCAATAGACCCTTGATGCATTGCTGCATTTACTTTGCAAAACTTCATAGAAAGTAAAAAAAGTAAGGGAAGTTTAATGTGTCATTTTGCTTTTTTCCATCATTTACTTGAAGCTAAAACATTGTAAAAATGACTTTTTTTTTAGCTTCATTGGCAATGGACAAATCATGTTAAATTGCAGGTGACTATAATCTTTGTTTAGTTCTAATCATTACACTATATCTTTTGCAAAACTAAACGTTAGACAGATGAAGATGTGATGACTTTTGGTATTGCTTATCAATAAGACCAAAATAAAATGCAGAAACAGAAACCATTGGACCCTGGAAACTTACTTGTGCAGTAACCAATAATAAAATACAAACATCAACATCAGCTAGATCTAAATGTGTTAAAAGAACACTGCTTTCTTTTCTATCTTTTTTTTTGACTTTTGCAGAACATACAATCAAAAACACTTTCATATATCTTTATACTAGAGAAGGACTGCAGCCGATGGATATTGATGTTGGAAAGTGGTTGAGGAAGCATGCTTCGGAAATTAAGATTATTGTGGTTATGAATAAAGCTGAAGCACTCGCTGAGAGTGATGGCTCTCTTGCTGCTGCTGCAGGTGAGGCCTATAGATTAGGATTTGGGGATCCTATTGCTGTATCTGCTGAAACTGGATTTGGCATGGCTGAGCTTCATGAAACACTTCGACCATTACTTCAGGAATACGTGCTGAAAAACTTAAATGGTAAGGCACTTGTTTTTCAAAACTTGATATTGCAATGGCTGGCGTCACATTTTATTTGAAATTTTTTGTATTTATGGTAATTTCCTAATTAACATACATTACTGAAATGAGATCTTGACATCTACAAAATAACATGTTATGAAGACGACGATAATCACGAGAAAGGATCCTCTAAGGGAATGGAAGCCAAATTGCCATTACAGTTGGCAATTGTAGGACGACCAAATGTTGGAAAATCAACACTGTTGAATGCAATATTACAAGAAGACCGTGTATTGGTTGGGCCAGAAGCTGGGTTGACTAGAGATTCGATCCGTGCACAATTTCATTATGATGGGCGGACTATTTATTTGGTAAGATTTTACTTAGTTTCTATCCCCCCTCTCTATCAATTATGCTCCTCAATAATACGGAGTAGGCCTTTGATAGCAAACCTCTCATCACTTATTCCAGTAGAAGGAAAAAACATTGAATAATGGGTTATTTGGAATAACATAATGCACATGTTCCTGGTCAAATATTGCCTAATGGATTATTCTAAAATTCTAATGGGCATGATCCATTTATCACTTGCTACCTGTTTTATATTGTTTGTTTGGTATCTTTCTTTCCTATAAATATTCTGTATCTTGCTCAGTTTGAGGGCCTGGATTTCAGTACTAAGTTACACTTGTAAATGGAGCCTTGTCCTCTCCAAAGGGACTTATTATCCTTTTTTTGAACCAAAATCACAAACTTTATTTCACATCAACCAATTCAATACAATAATCACACTACTTAAGTACTACTTAAGTACCAAATATAATCAACCGTTTGCTGCACTTCAATCTTTTTTTGATGGATGTACCCATTCCTTGCTTTCCGAATCCCATAGCAACATGTAGCCCATACTGCCAAATTGATCTTCTTGTTATTTGTATTGCTATCACTTGCAAGCTTTTCCCCAAACTCTATAACGTCATCAGCCATCAATATGTCCTTATATACAAACCTTGCATACCTGTAGGAGCAAAACAGATGGTTAGTATCCTCACTGTCAATATCACACAGACTGCAGTTTGTAAATATGTCCATCCATCTCCTCAATCTTACCTTTGTCATTAATCTACCTTGCATGAGGAGCCAAAAAATGTATTGGACTCTTGGTGGGGTGAATTATTCCAGACCCAGTTTACCAAGGAGGCCTCTGGTTTACATTCTGAAGGTACTCATAACCATTCTTCAGTGTGTATCCTCCATTGCAGTGCATGTCCCTGAAGCAATGTCTAACATTTATCATCTGTCTCCAATAATGACATGAATCCATCTTAGGTATATGATCCCATCTTAGGCATCTCTCTCTCTCTCTCTCTCTCTCTCTCTCTCTCTGGGACTTATTATCCTTCCACTCAAATGAATTAGTGTTTTAATAATATTCCATATTCCATCTAATAAGCCTATGCCAGTCTATCATTTGGTATGACTGAATGAGAGCCTTTTCTGGTCCACCATGGTCAACACTAGATTTACATCATAAAACCATCAACCCAATTCTCCCCCTTCATCTCACAATCTCCAAATGCATTGACCCAACAATTATCCATCATTTTTTCTTGACTCGAAACCCTCGATAATCTTGCTGCTGAAGTAGCTGCACTTAAGGCCGAACCAGTACTCTCTACTAGGCTGAAAATCACCCAAAAGGCTCAAACTGATGCCAGCTGCAGGACACACATTTTGGTCTGCGGAATAGGCAGCAAAATTGCTGGCAAGACAATGAAGATGGGGATATGGCTAACGCATTGAGGTACCATCCTAGACAACTCAAAGTAATGCCGGGGAGCACATGTATTCATTGCCAACTCAAAGAAATGCCACTTTGGACAGAAACAATTTCAGTTTCTGGGACATGCTCTGAGGAGATGGACTGGCTGTTGATTAAGTCATTAAGATAAATTTTGAGCAATTATGGAGTGACCCAAACCCTATGACGTCAAAGATCTGTGAGGTTTTCTAGGTTTGACAGGTTAGTATCATCGCTTTGTAAATAATTATGGACCGATTGCAAGGCCGTTGAGGGACGGAGCTGACCAAGAAAAATGGATTTCACTAGAATACGCAAGCCAAATCTGCATTTCAGCAGTTAAAAACAGCCATAACTTCTGTCCCAGTTCTCAAATTGCCAAATTTCGGTGAACCTTTCACAGTGGAATGTGATGCATCTTGAGCAGGAGTGGGAGCCATCCTTCTACAATCAGAACACCCGATCTCATTTTAGCAAGGGTTTCTCTCCCCCTAACCATCGTACATCTGCTTACAACAGAGAACTGCTTGCAATGCCCTGAGTCTTAGCTTTGCAGAAATGGAAGTATTATTTGCTAGGCCACCTTTTCTTATATTAACTGATCACCATAGTATCAAGTATCTGTTGAACCAGCGTGTGACAACGCCCTAACAGCAATGACCTCTCACAAAGTTATTACCCTCTGATTTCACAATCATCTACAAAAAGGGAAAATCTAACCTTGGGGCTGATGCCTTATCCTGGAGACCGCAACATGCTGATTTTTTGGCCCTTGCTGTTCCAGTTAACTTGGATTTTGTAAACCTCCAGCTCCATCTCCCATTAATTGAGATTGGGAGCTTGGATTACATCCAGATAAAGTTCTAACACATTGTTGGAGTTCTCAATTTGGGCAGCCTACACTAGAAACACTAATGCAGTGGTGGGATTGACCAATTGAAGAGGCAATATGGGAAGAATATGATTTGCTTGCTGGTCAATTTTCATCATTCCACCTTGAGCACAAGGTCAATTTCCAGCGGGGGAGTACTGATAGCAAACCATTCATCACTTTTTCCAGGAGAAGGAAAAACATGGAATAATGGGATATTTTGAGGAGCATAATGCGCATGCTGCATGTTCCTGCCTTCCTGGTCAAATATTGCCTAATGGATTATAATAAGGGGCAAGATCCATACTTTCAGCTGCTACCTGTTTTCTACTATCTTTCTTCTGTTTTTATATTGTTTATTTGTTTGTTATCTTCCTTTCCTATAAATATTATGTATCTGGCTGAGCTTGAGGGGAGGGATTTCAGTATTAAGTTACACTTGTGAACGAAGCCTTGCCCTTTCCAAAGGCACTATTATTTTTCCACTCAAATAAATTAGCGTTTTAATTATAATCCATCTTCCATTTCATAAGCCGCTCTATCAGCCTTAAGCCACTACTGAAATGATTAGGCCTCTAGACCATTTCAGTAAAACTATTGCATGCATACGCTGCTCTTCTATATAATTTTATGTATATTTAACTCCCTTGGTCAAACAACAACAACATTAACAACAACATTAACAACAACATTACTCCAGTTCCTCAAAGGCTCCCGCCCAAATCGGGCTACAACAGAAAATCAAAAAGCCCTTGAAATCATTAAGTGGCCTATATTATGAAATTGCACTCTAATTCCCAACTAGTGTCTTGTGCATATATGGCCTATGCATTTGAGGATTACAAGCAAAAGATTTGGTGCGTATTTACTCCATAAATAAATGGCCTCGCTTACTTCCTTTCTCTTTCCGCTTAATCTATAGTCATGTTTTTTTTGCATGCTTGAAGTTTTGCAGATATGATACATGATAGGGCACAATGGCGTTGTTTGATCCATGTAGCCAACCCCACCTAGTGGGATAAAGCTTTGTTGTTGTTGTTGCTTGAAGTTTTGCACATTTATCTTCTGAGTACTGTGTAATCCTGTTTCATTTTCAGGTTGACACTGCGGGTTGGTTGGACAGGACAAAGCAGAAGGGACCATCATCTTTGAGTATAGTGCAATCAAGGAAACATCTTATGCGTGCTCACATAGTCGCACTGGTCCTTGATGCTGAGGAGGTATGGGAATCATTATCTGTAATACGGAGTATGTGCTAAACTCTCTTTGAGTAAAATTAGAATATGGCACAGCGGCATATGACCACATCCATTTAGCTAATACGGAGTATGTGCTAAACTCTCTTTGAGGAAAATTAGAAGTTGACACAGAGGCATATGACCACTTCCATTTAGCTATTTTGACAGTCTTACTGAATTTCATGCTTAGGTTTTTTTCAATTTAATTTTTTTCCCCTTACAAAACTGAATTGAATGATCAAGTCTTTGTCATCTACTCTTTATCTCCTTAAAAGAACTTCATGTTTTCCTTTTTGGATCGTTCCACAATAAACTTCACCTTTTAAATAAGGAAATAAACACGTGGATGATACTTTTTCTTTAATATATAAATAAATTTGAATTTTCAAGCCTTTGTCATCCACTCCTTATCTCCCTAAAAGAGCATCGGTTTTTCTCTTTGGACCGTCCCACAATAAACTTCACCTATTTATTTAAGGAAATAAACACATGGATGATACTTTTTTGAATATATAAATAAATTTGAACTACACAATTCCACTTTCTTAAACTCCACGCAAAAAGCAAGAGCGAACTTCTTTTAGGGATTGGAGGAGCATTACTCTATTAGAGGTATCAATTATGATAGGCAGACAAGGGAGTATGTGAAGAGGTTCCCTATCATAAACCAAAATGAAAAGAGTAGTTTTAAGTGAGGTGTGAATCACGTGATAATAAGTGTTATAGCAATACTCTGCCCACGGTATCCAGCCAACACACAGCTGTGGTTTATCTCCAGTATGACGTTGCATATACATTTCAATAGTGCAGTTGGCAATTTGTTTTTGACTGTCTGATTGAGGATGATAAGCAGGTGAAAATTTAAGCTGTAACCACTAAGATGGAATAATGTAATGTAAAACTCATATAGACAATGACTTATGGAAACCTTGTCACGATTACAAAATTGGTATTGATGCAACGTATTGCACGTTTTGCCACTTATGATGCTGACAAACAGAACAGTTTTGCACAAAATGCTAAATAGTTCACTTCATACATTGCCTATAAAAGTCCTTATTGATATCATGCAATAATAGTTGGACTGAGAGAAGATGCAGGAAAAAGGGAGACATGCTCATGAAAGGAATATCATCCCCTCCCGTGCAGTCGGATATCTTCCTCACTCTTTTTATGCAAAGTTGTAGTTGTTCCAAGTTTTAGATGTATTTGTTTCTTTACCTCTTCATCATTTCAGATAAAGGGAAAGAAATAACCGTAAGTTGCTGGCTCTCATCTCTCCTCGATAGTGCACAAGCCACAATATTTGAGGCTAAAATGACTAGTGCGTCTGAGAAGATGAGGTTGCCAATAAACAATTGTCTTAGTCAAACCAATCAACCCCACTCATAAGTAGCCAATTTAAGATGTTCTGCAATTTTGTAGCTTAAAATTGCAATTGGATGGCTTTGTTGCTGCAAATCAGCCCGGAATCTGTTGTTTGAAGCATCACACTCAACCACAATCAAAATTAGGTAGACGTAAAACTAGTGCAGCTGAAAGAAGAGTCTTCAGGTTAGCAAAGCAACTTTAGTGTCAGCGTTCCATTGAAAAAGATCTTCAAGAGACTCATTAGAGGAAAAACTTTTTTTTCCATGATCCTTAACTGAACTTTCGTATTGCCCTGCTAACCCAAGGAATCCTCTCAAGGCTTTGGCAGGATAAGGAGTTGGCCAATCTATGTCTGCCTTGATTTTTCATCCATACTTCTACTCCATTTAGCTTCTCTACCGTTAGGTATGGCTAAGTTCTGCTTACACCCACCCTCCTGGGACGGCACTCATGGGATTTTACTGGGTTGTTGTATACTCTTCTCCATTCCCATGGATTGCATGTCCAAGGTAAGAAGCTTATGGCTCACCCAAGAAACACTTAAATTTTCTTGTAACTTTCCTAAGACTATTCAAATATGAGGCATGTGTTCGGCCATAATCTTAGAATAATACTTACAAATATCTCTTTGAATGTCTCACTGTTGTTTTTAATGCTAAACAGTACAGGACTTCGTTTCAGAAACAAATGTCTTTATTTGAAGTGTTTTGATGGTTGTTTTTAATTATTTGAGAATGCCTTTTTAATAGAAGTTACTAACTGTAGTTTGATCAATTTTGTGATGGCTAGGTTGCTAAAGATAGGCGGAGTATGAAACATGTTGAAGTGCTTATTGCACGAAGAGCTGTGGAGGAAGGGCGGGGTTTGGTCGTGATTGTGAACAAGATGGATCTTCTCAGGGGGAAACAAAAATCAAAACTATACCAGAGTGTAATCAGAGCTGTTCCTGAAGAAATTCAGACAGTAATACCACAGGTTTGTCAGCATTACTTATAGGGCCCTGGAACGACCCTATACTCCTTCCGTTATACTTTTTCTGTCCCGTAATAAAATTCATAGTTTGACTTCATGGAGTTCAACAAAAGTTTTGAAAAGTGCAAAGTGTGGTTAAAATTTATTTAGAAAGGAAAATGGTGTGAGCTACACATTCTTTTCCTTAGAAGGGGATGAAGAAAGTGTGAAGTTTATTTTGGGACGGAGAGAGTATAATGACAATAATAATAATACTATTACTAGTACTCATTAATACGGAGTAGTAATAATAATACCAATAATAATAACAACAAGAATAATAAGAATACTAATATTAATAATAGTAATAATAATAATACTCTCTCTGTCCGGACATTAACTTTCTACTTTCTTCTTGGACCGTCCGAAAACTAACTTTCCATATCCTTATTTTGCATGCTTTTGAACCTGAAATCTCATACATACCCTCCAACCCACCCAACACCTCCCACCAGTGGCCCCTCACCCCCCAACATTACTTGTGTTTTCTCCAGATCGAGAGGCTTATCATCAAGCTACTCCAACCAGATCTCTCTTCTGATTGAAAAAGGTGCCCTTGTTCACGTTTTTCTCGAGATCTAAAAGCTTATCATCTCTCTTCTGATTGACAAAGGTCTCAACCACGTTTCATTCTATGCAACCATCCGACTCTTGTTCGCTGCTGTCGGCCTTCCATTGTGACTAGCAGTGTCTTTTAGTGAGCTGCAGGGCCTGTCTTCGAGCATGAGCTTCATCTTGGGTTAAATTATTGCCTGCAATTTGATATGAGAGGGATAGAAATCGAGTGAATGGAGGGTGTGATTGAGTTCCTGTTTATTGGAGTAGAGAGTGAAGGCCTGAGAAAACAAAGCTTTGGCAAAAGAAGCTAAGACCAGAAGCAACACGCCTTTGCCGCCAGTAACTTTGCCGGACTGGTCCAAGGGGTACCCCTGGCTTGGTGCTGCTCATCTTGGACTTCATCAGCGTGATGAAGCCATTGCTGCTTACAGGAAGCGTTTAGAAATTATAGGGTTATAAATGGAAAGTCAAACTTATTTTTAACTCTCCTAAATAATTGTGTCGAGTCAACTTAAGAAGTTCATTCCTGGACGGAGGGAGTAACATACATACTGTTTAAAGAGAAAAATCATCATCCTCATCATCACCTTAATCCCAACCAGTTGAGTTGGTGACATTAATTATATAGCACCAAATCATTTTATAAGATTAATTGATGTTATAAATTCATGTAAAATTTCAATGCCTACCCTTGTCACGACCCTCATCAAACAGATTAATGAGATGAAAATTCTAAAACTGTCATTCATTAGTTATTTCCACATGCGTATAAAATATATCATGAGCTGACAATGAGTTGAAATATTAGCTTTTGCCATTGCACTACAAAAATGATATTGCACGACCCATATGCAAATCATGAACCATAAAAGTACGAAGGGGTTTAAAATTTGTTATTTTGATATTTTACTCAAACATTTTATAGTTATTTACCAATATGTAAATATTACAATTCATTTTGATTTCACCCATGTTTATTAATTTCGCAGATAACAGGAATACCTGTTGTGTTTGTTTCAGCACTTGAAGGAATGGGGCGAATGGCTGTAATGCGCCAGGTCGTTGAAACCTATGAAAAGTGGTGTCTAAGATTGTCCACTGCTCGACTCAACCGCTGGCTAATCAAGGTTTGAGAATTGCCCCTCCCACCACCCTGTGTCCCTTACCATATATATATATATATATATATATATATATATATATATATATATATATATTATATATATATATATAATATATATATAATATATATATAATATATATAATATATATAATATATATAATATATTATATATATATATATAATATATATAATATATATATTATATATATATATATTATATATATCACCTGACACGGAATAATATATATATATATATTATATATATATATATATATATATATATATATATATATTTTGTGAGGTGGATATGATAACTTTTATATTGTTCCGTGTCAGGTGATGAGCAGACATTCTTGGAAAGATCATGCAGCTCAACCCAAGATTAAGTACTTCACTCAGGTGAAAGCTAGACCACCAACTTTTGTAGCCTTTGTAAGCGGGAAAACACAGCTCTCCGATACAGATCTGAGGTTCCTAACCAAATCCTTGAAGGAGGACTTTGATTTGGGTGGAATTCCAGTTCGGATATTGCAGCGGACAGTAGAGAAAAATTCTGCGAATAGTAAAAGATTCAAAAAGAACATGCAGTCTACGGGGAAAGTAGTCGAAAGGGCAGTTTCGGACAAAAGAATCATTCTACCCTTAGAAAACAGCACCCCAACACCGACTTGAGGTAAACTATCATAATATGTTTGTACATTTTTCTCTGTATATGTAGTGCTTGATATGGTTGGATTTTGAATTGCAGGTTTCATTATGTAGTTGCATACTGACTGTCAATGGCCTGAGTTTTTTGTTTCCAAATGTGTATTATTAAAACATAGGGCTCAGCAAATGATGGGTTTCCTTTCATTTAGTCACTTTTGAAGCCACTTTGCCAATATCCTATTTTATTGAGCTTGCAACTTATTTACCTAAATACACACACACACACACACACACACAAATTAAGGTTGGACTGGGCTATATTGTGGGTGCAGGTGGGATTGAGTCAACTGTGGTTGGATGATGGCTGCAGAGTGGGATTGGTCGGTTACTCGGGTTGGGATGATTTGCTGTTTGGGTTGGACATTGGGCGAGGGGCTTTCTGGCTGCTTAGGTTGGATGCATTTATGAGTACACTGTACACGTTTGGACGGATGTTTTCAACAACACACAGTCGTGGCAATGACTGCTAGAGAAGCTATTCAATGAGCTTCATATTGGTTGATGAATTTATGAGGTGGTGGTTCACTTCCTGAAAGAACCATGCTGCAGTAATACCAAATTTGACACCATGTTCTTTTCACACAAGCTAGCACACAGTCAGAGTTGCATGTTACAATATACATAGAGTCTGTTCTTTAGGACTGGAAAAAAAACTAGATGTTAGAAGAAACTGGAAAAAATTGGAAAGAACTGGAAGATATTGGAAGGAACTAGAAGAAACTGGAAGATATTGGAAGGAACTAGAAAAAACTGGAAGGAACTAGAAGAACTGAAAGAAATTGGAAGGAACTTGAAGAAATTGGAAAAAAATTAGAAGGAACTGAAAGAAACTAGAAAAATTTCAAAAAATTGGAAAATATAAAAAGAATTTTAAAAAATTTATTTAAAATTCTTGTTGTTATAAATTATTATTATTATTATTATTATTATTATTATCATCATCATCATCATCATCATCATCACGTTACCTTAATGAATGCCTTTAAGATAAAAAAAAAAGTATTCTCTGTCTATTTTATCTTTGCACTTTCTGTTTTTGTCCGTCCACAAAAAACTTTCTATTTCCTTTTTTGAAAATCTTTTTATACCGAAAAGACTTAATTACTCCTACCCATTCACTCTCTTTCGTTTCTTTTTCTTCTTCCTCTCGCCACAACCTAGCCACTCCTCAGTCCTCACCCACCCCTCTTATTCTTCTTCTTTCATTCTTTTTTCTCTCCCTTTTGATTTTGTCCCACCCACCCTTTTTTCATCTTTTTTTTCTTCTATTTTCTTCTTCTGACCTTCTGATCTTTCTCTTTCCATCTTCTCCTCTCTTTTCTTCTCCATTCCCATCAAATGTAGTCCATCCACCCATTTTTTTCTTCCTCTTCTTCTTCTTCATCCTCCCCTTTCAAATTTGGTCCAGATCTGAGAAATCTAATTTCAATCTGTGAAGGATTTTAGAGAAAACGAAGGATCTTTTTTAAGTCTTCTTCATATTCATCTTCTTCCGACCTCCTTCGATTCTTCCACTAATTGGAGAGGATGCTCAAATTGACTCTGAAAGGGTGGTCGCCTGAATTATGTCGCCAAAGTTTCTCCATTTTGGAATATATGGTATTTGTGCTAGGTTAGTAGGTTGTCCGACGAGATGCTAGGGGATTGTGGGAATGGGTAGAATGTTGGACTAGAAAAATGGGGAGGGCATAATTGGAAAGTCAATGTTAAATTTAAGATTCTTTAATCTCCGTGCCCGATCAAACCGGGAACATTAAAAATGGACGGAGGAAGTATTTTAAAAATGTGATTCGCATTACCCACGAACGTACGAATAAACATATTAGACCCGTATCCGAATAAGCTAACAGAGATTCATCTCTCTTTCCTCAATCTCTTAGACTATGGTTCGTGAAATTTGAAAAGGAAAAAAATAATATGAAAACAAATTTTTCTTGTTTGGTTAGAGAAGAAAAGATAAGTAAAATGAAAAGAAAATGAGGAGAAAATAATTTAAGAAGAGAACAAGTTTCCTTCTATTTTGGTGAGAAAAATAAAAAAAACCTCTTTCTATTCCTTTTCTTTTGAATTCCGCGAACCAAACATAGCATTACTGTCCACTCAAACAAATTTAGGGCAAACATTATGTCTCACCTTTCCCATTTTCCTCTCATTAAAAAAAAATAACATTCGGAAAAGAAAGAAGCTCGTACTGATATTGTTGAAATAAAAGGATAGAATACTTCAAAACAAGACCATTATAATAACTCTGGACAGGATCTGAAACAGTTTAACAGTAACTAATAACTAGTTAGAATAAAAGCATACTGCGTTGATTGCATTAACCAAAGTACCAAACAACAATTACTCATTCATAACTGGTTTGTTCTCGCTTGCTTTTGGCTTCTGCCCTTTTGGCCTTTGCTCTTCAGTTTTCCTGTATGTAGATTCGGGCATTAGAACAAGAAACAACTACTAATACACAGAAGAATGCTCCAATTAACTAAATGAAAGTATGTTACTAGTTTTTCTATGAATTTGAACTTCATCTCAATAAATTTGTCAAAAGAATTTCGGGTTGCTTTTCCCAGACATTCTTAGGAAAAACAGATCTGTCAGGAAGTCTGCAAAATAGATTTTTCAATTGATTGCCTACACATTTTCCACTGATCTTAATTCCAATGAGATTTCTATACTGAAAATAGGCACTTGTTAGAACTGCACAAATGTTTCAAAATATGCAGATTCATGGATACGTTCTTCGTTTGCTAGTATTAACATTTAGGTCATTTACAATTAGACTCATTCCATCTCTTCAGATTCTTCACACTTGCTTTTTAGTCTCAAAATAAACTTTTTGCTTTCATTATTTGGTTAAATTTTTCTAATACAATAACACTGCACCTCATTTTTCCACCTAAAAAAGTTGTGTCAGTCGCCTTTCGCGGGAACCAAAAGGAAAATCTGCACACAACAATTATTCCATACTCCTAAAAGTATATGACAAACACAGTTGTCAAGTACTCAAATCTTGGATTAAATAGTGAGCTTTGATCAATTGTGTAAAAATAATTCATGAATCAATTCATATCCTCATATTCAAGAGCTTATTATGAAAAAAATTTACAGTTGGAACAAGTAGAAATGATCAAAAGTTCAAAAATTCAAAGTACTAAGAACAACTTTCCTTGCTTCTTGCTTTCTATGAAGTTTTGGGAAGTAAATCAAGCAGTGCATCAAGGGTCTAACGGAAACAATCTCTATTTATTATAAGGGAAGACTGCGTTCCAGCTCTCAACAGAGTTGGGGTTATTGTGGGTTGTCCTTGTAGAAAGAGAAGCACTTCAAATTACTTCTTAAAAAATGTTTAGCTAATAACTGATAAAGTTCTTTTCACCTTTTCAACTGTAAAATGAAACATCTTGGGCTTAGGCCTAACATAGGAAAGCATCTGATTGGTGTATTTTTATATAAAAAGGCATTTTAGTGCTTAAATGAGAAAATACTTTTTTAAAGCACGTATACCAGAAGTGATCCTAATTCCTAAACAAGCACTTTTACGTTTATAATTAGTTCAGATATGGTTAATCTGTAGAGCTCTAACTCGTCACACAAATACAGACTAGTTAAGCTACTAGTTAGGTTTGTAGATGAACATAAAGTTCCACAAACAACTTGGGTTCGAGGTTGTTTAGTGTACATTCATATTCATTTGGTTAATTTATAAAACCTAGATGAAAATTATGTTAGGGCTGATGTCTTAGACAAGTTGAGATTAAATGATGAGAAGCTGGTTTGGCAAAAGCTCGTGAGCATTGGTGTTCGTTAAGTGTATTCATGAGCAAACTCGGTTAGAACACGCATTAGAATGATAATGGTCATGAGTAATTTTATACATTTCACTGTGATTTGCATTTGTTAAATGGAGATTTATTGTTTCAATGATGTGAAAATGGGTGTGCTTGTTTGATAGATTGTTTGTTAAGGACATGTTAACTTGTTTATGAAGAAGCTCAATAAAGTGAAACAAGCTTGTTCGTGAACAATAAAAAAACCTGAACACACAAAATTTTAAACTCGATTAGGTTTGGATTGACTTGACTAGTATTCATTTTTTCCAGCTCAACTCGGGTTGTCCTCATTTGATTACTGCCCTAATATTCTCTGATGGGTATATTTGGGAGTCCGCCCAATGTACCCACCCCGTTTAATAATTTAATTAGGTTCAAAATGCTAAGCGCGATTCACTTCCAGGGCAAGCACGCATGAAAGGGGTTGGACCATGAGACCCCAGAAGCAAGGCCCAACCTTGAGACTTGTGAGGTACAGATCATGATTGCGCCTAAGTTAAAGTGACAAGGGCACAATCCCCGCGTGATAGATTCCTAACTGATCATGTTCCTTAATTAGCTCCACTAGTTACAAATCGCAATTAGCAAGCCATGTAATTGCAATATAAATATGACATCACCTTTGCTAGAGAATGGATTGTACGCTTGTTATTCAAAGGGAAATACAAAGCTTCATCGCTAACATTATTTCCGATCTATCTTATTATTATCAATATTACTGTTCATAATTATTGGTGGATTAAACATTCACCATTATCCATATTTTTATAATGCACATTGGAGAACAAAGTGCTCTATATTAGCCTATTAGGTAAATGAAGACAAACATGTAATCAATCACTAGTTGGTTTTTCTGTAGAGTGGCCCTTGAAGCTCCAGTTCTAAACATCAGAACCTTTCAAATTTCCAAATAAATATGATTGATTGAACATTATCCGACCATAAACCCTCAAATTTAACAGCATGTTGGCTCAAAATATAGCTTTCTTTTCAAACATTGCAATCGTGAAATCTGTTATCCAGCCCGTTTTACATATCTATGTACATACATCTGCGACAGAAAAATTCTAACCAGATCCCATAACGAGAGAGAGATAGAATAGCCCAAACGCGATCATATATCTTCTATAATTACTAATGTGAAGATGCATGAAATTCGACCATGAATATAACCTAAAATATCAATTTTGCAGTAAATTTCTTTTTTCTAAAAAAATAAAAAGATAGAAGAAGATGCAAATCACAGTGCAGAACACAAGCAACAGAAATTGACAGGATACCTCTTGTCGGATGTGCCTCCCTTCTGGCTAAGGAAGGATCGGAAAAGCGGCGAGGTCACGTCGTAAATCA